AATATTCATGAAAGAATTTAACTAATATTTATAAAAATAATGTCATTCTTGAGAAGAATTTTATAAAAAATTTTAAATAATTGATATCTTTCGACTAATTTTACGCAAATTCTAATTTAAGTAATTGAATTTCTGAAAAATTTTTATTATTCATGAAAAATTTTTTTAAAATAACTGAATTCTGTTTGGAAATTTTATGAAAATAGTAGATATTGAAAATCATTGAATTGTGAAAAGTTTGTAAAAATTTTATTAAATTTTTTTGAAAATAATTGAATTCCTAAAAAACATTTTATTATTTATGAAAATAATTGAATTCTTGCGAACGATTTTATTACAATTTTTTTAAATAATGGAATTTCCCTGAAGAAATTTATTACTTTTAAAAATAATTGAATTATTGTGATGAATATTGTTATTTATGAAAATAATTGAATTTTGCAAAGAATTTTATTAAAATACCTCAAAATAAATTAACTTTCGGGAATAATCTTCTTATTTATCGATATAATTGAATTCTTTTGAAGAATTATTTATAATAATAATTGAATAGTTGCTAAGAATTTTATTAAAATTTTCAAAAATAATTTAATTCCTTTGAGAAATTTTATTCTTTTTGAAAATAATTGAATTATTGCGGAAAAGTTTATTAAAATGTTTAAAAAGAATTGGATTTCTGTGCAAAATTTTGTTATTTTTAAAAGTAATTGAATTCTTCATAAGAATTTTATGAACATTGTTTTAAATAATAATTAATTTTTTCGATATATAATAAATATTATGAAAATGTTATTAGTTAAAATAATTGAATTCTTGTGGAAAACTTTATTTGTGAAAATAAGTAACAGTTATTTTAGTTTCGAAAGATACGGAATTCTTTGTTTAAAAAGCTAAATAAATAATTATTTTTTTAATTTTTAGAATAATTTTTAGAATAATTTAAATGTTCGTAATCAAAATTATTTTTGAAATAAACGTATAAAATATGTAACAATTTTTGCGAGATTCAATTTTACTACAATTGTACTACAAGAAAGTAACAAAATTTATCGGATTCACTTGAAATTTATTTCTAGTGCGGTAAACATAACATTAAATTTTAGAAATTCAAAATAGAACTTCCATTCTATGACTTTTTTCTAATTTATCGGATTCAGTGATTTCTGGGGTGAATTTGGTAAAGTTTTGAGATAATTAATGTCTATGTTAAATTCGTTATTTTTACTTTACAAAATCTGATGTTAATTTAATTTAATTTTTTAATTTAGTGCTTCAATTAATACTTTCGCTATTCTAGAGAAAATTATCGCTGTTTCAAGTAAAAAATTTTTCAGTGTGTTATTATTATTTCTTTAAAAAGTATTTAAATTAAAATGGCTTTATATTGTTTAAAATAAGCAATACAAAAGATAAAATTCGCTCAAAAAATAATTTTTCACCTCCTGATGATTATCGGCTGTGGATTTTTTTTTATTGTTGTGAATTAAATTCATTTTTATGACCCAGATATTAATTGGAATTGTTTTAGCCATAGTTTAGGTCCAGTAATGTAAATTCTATTTAAATTGTAAATTTAATAATAATAATAATAATAATAATAATAATAATAATAATAATAATAATAATAATAATAATAATAATAATAATAATAATAATAATAATAATAATAATAATAATAATAATAATAATAATAATAATAATAATAATAATAATAATAATAATAATAATAATAATAATAATAATAATAATAATAATAATAATAATAATAATAATAATAATAATAATAATAATAATAATAATAATAATAATTAGAATGATAATAATAATAACTACGATAATAATAGAACCCCATTGTTAGAATTTAATAACAATATAAATGTTCTTAATCACAAGATGACTTCCGTTGTAACACACTCATATTTATTTTCTTAAATCAGAAATTTCTTTCGCAATCAGATGAATGATTCATAAATAAATAGAAATGACACATTTTAATTTTTTGATTATCTGCTCCCTTTATCGATTAAAAAAAAATTTATATAAAAAACTTGAAATATTCGATGAGATTTGCAATTATTTTTGAAGTAATTGGTCCAAATTTACGCAATAGATTTTCTAAAAAATGTGAAAGTTTATACAAGACTTGATTATGAATGTGAGAAAAATATGTATTCCACATAAAAAGAAGTTAACGAAATACAATAATAATTCTTTGTAATTTCGCAGAATACCGACAATCGTAAAAGTTTATTTAATTTAAAAGCATTTAAATTGCGCATTTTATGAATTAAATAACAATGAATTTTTTATAATTAAGACGAATTATCTCGCAACAATATTTATTATAATATTATGAATATTATTATTTTATAATTGTTTAATTATTATATTATTATTATAATTATTTTTATCATTAATATTTTTATTAGGTATTCTTATTATGATCGTTATTATTATTATTTTTATCGTATTAGTTTTATTATTGTTACTATTTTTTTCTCATTAGTTTTAGTACTTTTATTGTTATTTTATTTTTTCATTTATCACTATTTTTATTATGAATTGAACTAGTTGTTAAATTAATAATGAAAATAATAATAAAATAAAAAATTTTTTCATCATTTTTTATATTGAGTTGAATTTTTTCATTCAAACATAAAATTTTTTTTTTAAAGTACAATTTTATTGTCTGATTTTGTATAAATTTTGTCATATTATACTCAAGAATTAATATATCAATGAAAAAGAATACAATTGTTAAAAAATTCTCCAAATTAATAAATAAATATTTTGCATAGGTATGTGCAATTTTTTTTAATTTTTATAATTAATTATTTAATTAAATTTTTTTCAAATTGGCATTGACAGAGAATTTTAAAACAAGGACACGTTTTCACTGCCTAATGACTACATCTGGATGACATATTCGTTCTTCTTCAATAGCTTTGCAAAAAAAATATGAGAAAAAAACAAGAAACAAAAAAGTAAAAACTCAAGTGTGAGAAATTTGAAGTGGCAAATAATATAATATTATAAAAATAATTATAATTCAAAGTAAGAAAATTCGTTTTTAATAAATTCTAATGAAAATTAACTTTTCCTAAAGTAAAAACATAATAAAAAAATAGTATGCATTAATTTTCCTATAGACACTGAAAAAATTAAAAAACAAAACACTAGAAAATATTATTATTATAATTCCAAAAATAAATTCTAATTTTGAACACCAGGAACTATTTTCGAGTTTGACATAGGAACGAGAAAAATTAACGGGTTATAGACGTAAAGCAAAAGTTATTCTTAAACCCAGCTTCAAAAACTAATATCAAAGCGATTAGAAGAAGAAGACGTAGGAGAAGAAAAAAAGCATAAAAACTATATTGACTATGTATCTAAAAATTGATAATTTATCAACTTCCCTTTTATAATCGTCGATTAAAATAAATTTATTGCTCCTTGAGAACAGAGAGATAAAAATATTTTCTCAAGAAGCAATTTTCAAAATCATTGCGCAAAAAAAAAAAAATTCAACCGTGATTTTTAAATTTCATTTCATTAAATGCTTTATATTTTATAAATCAATAACTGCAAATTTTTTAAACTGTTTATTAATTTTATATTTTAATTATAGTAATATTTTTTTCCCGAAAAAATTTATTTTGTACACGAAAAATAATAAACAAAAATTAATACAAGAAGTAAAAATTTACTCCAATTTTACAGTTGAAATCTAATTTAATATTTATTAACTATTTGTTGATTATAATAATTTTTTAATTAATTTCATTTTCCCAAGAAAAAACTATGTTGCATTCGAAAAATAATTAAAATGTTGCTAATACAAGAACTATAAAATTTACTCTAATTTTACAACTTATATTTCATTCATTATTTATCTATTGTTTATAACAATTTTTGAATTAATTTAAATTTTATTTTTCCAAAGAAAACTATTTTGTATTCGAAAAAGAATTAAAATAGGTATTGCTATTACAAAAAGTGGAAAATTTACTCCAATTTTACAATCCAAAGTTTATTATTTATTTATTTATAATTTATTGTTTACAACAATTTTTTAATACTCTCTAAATCTGAATCAGCGATAAGTATGCCACTATTTCAATTAGCGTATATGCGCTGTGAATTAGTGAAATTTCACTAAATAATCAGTGAAACTTCACTGATTAATTAGCGCATATACGCTGTTTTAAAATAGTGGCATACTTATCGCTGAGAATCAGTGAAATTTCGCTGATTCAGATTTAGAGAGTAAATTTAATGTTATTTTTTAAAAAAAAAGATATTTTGTATTCGAATAAGAATAAAAATATTGCTAATACAAGAGATATAAAATTGACTGCAATTCTATATTTAATTAATTACTAATCACTTTTTTATTGTTTATATAATAATTTTTTAATTAATTTAATTTTTTATTTTTGAGAAAAAAACTTAGAAACATTAAAAATATTGCTAATACAAGAATTATAAAATTTACTCCAATTTTACAATCCATATACTTAATTAATTATTTATCAATTTTTTATTGTTTATACTGATAATAATTTTTAGTTTATTAATTATTGTGACTTCGAGATAATTACTTATTAATTATATTACGATTTATTATCATTTATAATTAATTATCGCTGATTTACTAATTTTAATTAATTGTAATTAATTAATGAATTATCAGATTAATAAATAAATAATTAAATAATTAATATTAATTGTAATTAATCAAACAAAAATATCAAAAACCCAAAAGTAATTAACAGACAATTTTCCTCATCTCAAATGGACCAAAAAATTGACTGACAGATTGTATATAATTAAAAACTAATTTTCTCCTCGATTTTCAAAGTCAAAAAAAAAGAAAAAGAAAATAAATATATTTTCCATTTGACAAGTTGTCTATATATATAAATGCATGTTGTTTAAAACACATGTTTGACGCACAGAGAGGAAAAACTAAAAGTAAGAAGAAGGAAAGGCGTAATTCTAGTGTTCGTTAGATAAGAGAAGGTCCCTCGTGCGTGTCCTAAGGCAAACTCTATAGTCAGTCTTTGAGAAGCAACTGCAGTTGACTGTTGTTTGCTTCTGTGAGAAGGATTATATATTGAAAGTATAAATATATCAACCAACAAAAAAAAAAAAGAAAAAAAAAGTGCTATATAAATTTAATGTGATAGGAAATATTACATCATAACTGCAGATTTTAAATCGAGGCTGTATAACTCGTTTTTTCAGTTAGAAAAAAAAATTTATTTTCAACTCTTTTACCGGGAGAACATAAACACCAGTGGGTACATTACATTCGCTAATCGCTGATTTAAACGCGTATTTTTGTTATTACTTTATAATTCTGTCAATTTTTTTTTATTTTTTATTTATTACAAGTTAACGGGTTATACTTTTAAACTAATTAATAATAATATAATTAATGATGTAAATTAATTTTTTTCTATTTTAAACTACTTACAATTTTAATGTAATTAATGAATATTAAATTTAATTAATATTATAAACGAGTGACAAAACTGGTAATTATTAATTACCAGAATTATTATTGTATTAATAATAATATTAATTAATATTGTTATTATTAATACTAAAAATAATATTATTTTTATTATTTTTTCTTTATTATATTAAATTATTTATTATTATTATTATTATTGAATTACATTATTTATATTAATAAACAGTAATTATTATTAATACCTATTAATTTATTATTATTAATATCAATATAAAAATGAATATATCACTCAGTTTAAAAAAAAAGTGTTATAAATTGTTTTCTATAGATTTTATTTATAAAAAGTGTCAAATTATTTTCTACACTTTTTAATTAAAAAAAAAGTGTCAAATTATTTTCTATAATTTTTAACTGTAAAAAAAAATAATAAACTATTTGCTGTAATGTTTAATTATAAAAAAACGTGGGCTATTGTTTTGCCAATGAAAAAATAGTCTAAAATTATTTTCTATAATTTTTAATTAGAAAAAAAGTGTCAAATTGTTTTCTATATTTTTGTAATAATTGTAAAAAAAAATTATAAATTATTTGCTGTAATTTTCAATTATAAAAAAGTTTCAAATTATTTTCTATAATTTTTAATTGTTAAAAATTGACATAAATTTTTTTGTCTAAATTTCAATTACAAAACAAGAGTCAAAGTATTTTCTAAAATTTTTAATTGTTTAAAAAAGTCGTAAATTAATTTATAGAATAATTTTCAATATTATGAAAATGTGTCAAATTATTTTGCATAATTTTTAATTACTAAAAAGTGTCATATATTATTTTTTTCTATAATTGAAAATACAAAAAGACAATTTGAAATTTCTATTTACACACAAAAGTGGTATTGAAAAATTTTTTAATAAATGATAAAATTTTTTCATTTTTATATTAATTTTATTTATTTTAAATTTTATACTTAATTGAAAAAAAAATATATGTAATTTGTTTAATTTGTAAATTTTATTTTCAGGGCAAATCCTAAAGGGATATGAGGCGCGAGGGAATTAAAAATAGAAGAAAAGAAAAATTTTATCGACCATGGGTGAAATTTTAAATGAAACAATTTTTGCTCAAGATGATAGTGTGAGATCTTTACCTCGATTTGTGACTATCATCGCAGCTGTGTGTGCTATATTGTTTAGCGTCATTGGAATTTTAGGTGAGATGCGCTCTTAATATGTATCTATTTCCCGCTTTTATCATTATATTCATTTCCTCACAAAAGAACTTTTTAACTTTATTCAAATTAATCAAAAAAAAAAAAAAATGAAAAAGAAAAAAGAAAGAAAGAAGCGTCATATTTACCTTTTTAGTTATAAAAATAGAACTTTATTTTAAAAATAAAAATAAAAAAAAGAATTTTATCACTAAAAGAAATTTTAGTTCTCATGTTTATGTGTCACGTGAATAAACTATTTTACCACAGAATAAAAAATGTGAGTCAATTTTAAATTATTATAAACTCTGTTTTATGTCCCCTTGAAGGTTCTAAATAAATAAACGAAACTCTCGCGAATTTGTTCCAATTTTTTTTTCTCATATTATTATTCAAATTATTGTCCTTAATATTATTCAAAATTTCTCAATTAATAATTATTCACTCGGTGGTTTTAGCAAAACTTTATGTCAATTTATTTATTTACTATTTATTTATAGTAATTTATATTTACAATTTTTTATTTATTATTTATTTTATTTATTAATTTTATTTAATTATTACGATGCATAATGAATAATGAATCGACACAAATTGTATGTTATTTTTAAATCTATTATTGATTAATTAATACCCCAAATTTTTCGGTTTTGGAAGAATTTCCAATGTTTGCAATTTTTAATTATTTTTTTTGTACACTTTTCCTAATTAATATTAAATAGGTAGCATAAATAAAAATATAAATGTCTAATTAAATTTAAATAAAATAGAAAATAATTAGAGTTCAATTATATTAGATTACAAAAAAAAAAAAAAAAATTAGTCTCGAGGTAATACGTATGACTTGTAATTTTTTAGCTGAGGTTCGATTCCTAGCAAATGTACATATTTTAATAATAATTAATAAATCATATTAAGTTTCAAAAAATGAATTAAAATTAAAAGAAAATAATATAAAGATAATTTCTATTTAAAAAGCCAAAAATAATAAATAACAATACAATAAAGAAATGAAAAATAGTATAATAAATAAATATGATAAATTAGTAAATAGTAATAATAAAAATTAATGTAAACATAATATAATAAAAACTCTAGTAAATAATGTAAGATTTATTAAAAATAAATCTATTCTAATTCTAAAAAGGATCTAATAAAATATAATGAATTAATAAATATTTATATTTTAGTACCTAAATATAAATATTACATTTATAAAAAATGTATAATAAATAAATTAATTTGCCTTGAAATTTGATAGTAAAAAAAAATTACACAATGAGAAAAAAATAGTTTGACAATCCATTAGAAGAAATAAATATTAGTCCGAGATTTGATGAGTCAATACATTATTATAGATAGTTTAAAAATAAAAAAAAGCTATCAGCAAACTGCATATCGATTGACTGCATTCGTTAATTAAACTCATTCTTTTTTTCAATCTAAGCCAATTTATGTCTCGATTGCTCAGCCATAGTGTGTCTCCCTTCCTTCAACTTTTTCTTCTCCTCGCCTATTGAACTTTCTTGTATATATAAATATATATAGAACCCTGTATATACTTAAGGACTTCCTTTTAAAATTATAAAACCCATTATAATTGTAATTAGGCTGATGACACTGACTGTCCAATCCAAGGCCACCCCATGATCAATTACGAAAATTATTTCATTTTTTTATAATAATAACAATAATAAAATACTGGTAAAAATAATAATAAAAAACATAATAAAAAACAATAGAAAATAGTAAAAAAAAAATAATAATAATAAAAAAATAACAATATAATATAATAACAATTACTAAATTGTTAAATTTTATAAAATAAAATTATAACAATAACCTACCTAATAATATAATATATTATATAATACATATAAAATCAATCTTAGCCAATTATAATTATAATTATAATATTATATAATATATATAATTAAAATTATAATTATTATAATTATTAATAATATAATATAATTATAATAAATAATAATAATAATAATTATTATTATTATTAATAATTATTATAATTATTATTATTATAATTATTTTACTTTATATATAATATAATATTATATTGTACTAGCTGTCGTACCCGTCTTCGACGGGTTGTAGTTTCTGATAATGCTCTCTAAATTTGAATCAGCGAAAAGTCGCTGATTCACCAGCCCAGAGTATGCAGCTGATGAAACAGCGTATATACGCTGGAAAATCAGTGCATATACGCTGTTTCATCAGTGTATATACGCTATTTCATCAGCTGCATACTCTGGGCTGGTGAATCAGCGACTTTTCGCTGATTCAAATTTAGAGAGTGCACTTAACAGTGTATCTACCAACCTAGAAAACCGGAAAATAGCCGGGAATTTGATTTGACAGGGAAAAAATAATAATTAGTTACTATTGTCTATTTCATTAGGAAAATAATACCATTTGAAACAGTGACCGACTTTTTATTATCAAATTAGTTATTTTTAACTAATTCAAATGCAGAAAACAATATTTCTCAATTTGTAGTACTTCAATCAATATAATGTATTAAAATAAATCTAAAATTTCCTCCAGTTTTTTGAGTTATAGTACAGTCTAATTCGAACTAATTGTATAGCAAGTAGATCCAGTTTTTCTTGGTTACATTAAATTCCCTGATATTTTACGTCTTTTCTGGTTGGTAAGCACCCTGTTAAATGTATTATTAAAAAAAACCCGTCCAGTAAACCAGGAAAAATTTGGACAAAGCCGGAAATTGTTTTAAACCAAAATAAACACCGTGTTTAACTTTTGTCTTTACATTGATCAAGATATCTCTAAAAGTTAAATCAGAGAGCCCACAAATACTATTGAATTAAGCTTCATAGCAATTGGTATCAATTATAATTTTTTCAATTTTTTGATATTCAAAACATTTTTATACTTACATCTTCGTTATAAGAAAGTATTTTTGAAAAATTATGCTAAAATGTGACTAAATAACATGTAATACTCAACTATAGAAAGTTTAGAAGCAATCCATGAAAAAATATAAAATTTAGAAATGATTTGTGTTAAATAAATTTATTTATTAGAGTCAAGTATTTATTTAATTAATCCAATTAAGATTTATTTGATTCAACTAAATAAAATTATTTAAACGAAATAAATTCTTATTAGATCGAAATAAAAACTTTTTAAATAAGATATTATTTTTCAAATAATTATAATTACTTGAATCATATAACTTTTTTTAGTGTAGCTATAGTAAACTAAAAGTTATTAATGTGAACGAACATTATCTATATTAATAAAATCAGATTACTATCTGTACATTGCTCCAAACTTGAAAATTTTTATATATTTTTTCGTTTTGAGACATTAGAATTCTAAAAATGTAAAAAAAATTTCTGTCTGTCAGTCTCTGTCTGTATGCAAAACTTTGTTCGCGCATCAATTGAAAACGGTTCAACCAATTAAATTGAAATTTGGCAGTCTATTAGGTATTAAAGTAACTTACAATCATAGCCTTATCCGATTAAAAAATATTAACTTGAACAAAAGTTATGACATTTTTCCAAAAAATTCAAAAAAACAAAAAAATGCAAATTTTTTATCTTTTGTAAAATGAATGAAAAAACTATCCTTAGCTAACTTTTTCAGATAAATACAACCCATTTCTACGATAAAATTTTTAAAAAAGATGTATTTTGAAATTTTTTTTCGTTTTTTTAGATCAACTTTTTTCTAAGAAAATAGTGATTTTTAATCTTTAAGCAAGCTTTTCAGGAAAAGTTATTAAAGTTTTTTATTTAAAGATCAGTATGTAAAGTAAAAAATTTGCTACATTAAACAAAAATAATTAGCTAAATGCCATAAAAAAGAAGGAAAAATGTTGAATTTTAAGAAATTCGGTTTTTTGAATTTTTGCTAATTTTCCATAATTTTAGATTTTTTACCGAAGGGTGGAGACTATTGAATAAGTAAAGTATTTTTTAAGAGCACAAAAATAATAAAGCTAAATGCCATAAAAGAGAAGAAAAAATGTTGAATTTTAATAAATTCGGTTTTATGAATTTTTGCTAATTTTCCATAATTTTAGATTTTTTACGAAAGGGTGGAGATAACAAATTAGGTAAAGTATTTTTGAAGAGCCCAAAAATAATGAAGCCAAAAGCCATAAAAGAGAAGAAAAAATGTTGAATTTTAATAAATTCGGTTTTATGAATTTTTGCTAATTTTCCATAATTTTAGATTTTTTACGAAACATTGAAGACTTTTAAATAAGTAAATTATTTTTGAAGAGCACAAAAATAATGAAGCTTAATGATATAAAAGAGAAGAAAAAAATGTTAAATTTTAAGAAATTCGGTTTCTCGAATTTTTTATAATTTTTGATTTTTTGCTAAAGGGTGGAGACTATTCAAATAGTATAATTATACTACCGAAATAGCTAATGGTAACTAATTATTAATTAATTAATTATTAACTAATTATTAATTATTATTAATTAACTAATTATTAATTATTAATTATTAATTATTAATTAATTTATCCCGGGTATTTTTGATTTTCCAGATTGGTAGAAACATTGTTAAATGTATTGGTAGAAACTAAAACCCGTCGAAGACGGGTACGACATGACAGCTAGTGCTATATATTTTCATAATTTTTAAAATTCAAAATTTATCTTTTGAAATAATTATTGTCATTAATTTTACTTAAATTTTATACAGGGTTAATTTTAGTATTTTTTATTACAATTTAGTCATCAGAATGAAATTTGAGTTTTTCATTTTTTGATCATTAATTAATAAAATTTAATAGCAATTTTGAATTCTGTGCAACATACTGACAAAAGTCTCATATTAATTATATGGATATTGTTAATATTCTGACCTAATAGAATTCTTTTAAGAAAGTAAACTTATGATTTCAACAACAAATTTTTATTGTTGACCTAAGAAATACAACCGTATAAAAATTAATTACAAAAAAATTTCCATTTTTAAACTTTTTAATTTTTCAATATTTAAATCTAACACTTTTTATTTGTTATTCAAAATTTTATTATTCTGACGATTAAATCTTCATAAGAAACACTAAAATTAACCCTGTACCAAGTTTAAGTACAATTCACTAAAGTATATGAAAAAACTAAAAATTTCGAATTTTCGAATTTTTGAAAAAATGGCATAACTTTTGTCCATATTAATATTTTTTAATCTACTATCGCTAGGATTTTAAGTTAGGCTAATGCCTAAAAGACTGCCAAGTTTCACTTCAAACGATCGAACCGTTTTTCCGTGATACGCGGTCGAAAATTTGCGGACATACATACACACATACACACATACACACATACACACATACACACATATACACATACACACATAATTTTCTTAATAGTATTTTCGCATTCCTTAGAGTGTAAAAAGAAGGAATATAATAGAAATTTTGAATTCTATGCAATGTACAGACAAAAGTCTGATTTTATTAATAAGGATATTATGAGTTCAAATTTTATATAAATAATGTATAATAATAATAAATTATTATTGTTACCAACATTATTAAACTATTTTTTTAATTAAATATAAGCAGAAGATGTTTAAATTCATTTTTTGGCCTAATTTAATTATTTTTTTCTTCAATTTTCAAGAAAACATCTTGAATCCTATGGTATCCTGCTAAGAAGTTCAAAACGAAAAGTCCAAACCAAAAAATCCAAAGTAAATGAAATCCAAAAAAGTAAAAGAAAATAGTTTCACTTTTGGACTTATTTTTTTGAATTTTTTGTCCTGGTCAAAAAGTCCAAAGAAATTAAAAATACAATATATTATATTGAAAAAATAATTGAATTTTTGTAAAAAATTTGATCGCAATTGTTAAAAATAATTGTATTTCTTTTTCTTGGAATAATTGTTTTAAAAATTTTATAGAATAATTGGAATTTTTCTAGAAATTTTTTTATTGATGCGAAGATAATTGAATTTTTGTAAAGAATTTTTTTATTTTTATGAAAACACTTGAATTTTTGTGAAGAATTTTATTATTTATGTAAATAATTAAAATCATGCGATTTTAATTTCATGTTTCATTATATATTTTGGATTTTTTGACTTTGGACATTTTTTTTGGATTTTTTGTCTTTGAACTTTTTTTCTTGGATTTTTCGGTATGGATTTTTTGGATTAGATATTTTTTGTCCTATAATCGAAACCTATTTCTATTTTAACTATTATTTTTTATTATCTTTTTTACTATTATTTTTTTATTATGGTTATTAAATTTTATGTCCGGAGATAAATTTTATTTGAATCAAATACAATTTATTTGAGTTAAATAAGTTTCATTTGACAAGACTAAAACTTTTATTTAGACCAAAAAAAATTTACTTAAACCAGATAAATTTTATTTGAAATAAATAAAGAGTCTAGTTTGGTCTAAGTCAAATATTTTTTTTTCTGGATGTACTTTAATTTTTCATTTAAAGAAAAAAAATATTGAAATTTTTCATTTATTCTAAAAAAATAAATTAAGAGTTCCAAATTCGTATTACAAAATAATTTTACTACAATATTATTTTTCATTTATAGAAAAAAAGTATTGAAATTAAAATTTTTCATTTATTCTAAAAAAATAAAGTAAAAGTTCCAAATTTGTATTTTTGTTATAAACAAATTTTTTATATAATAATTTATTATTTAGAGAGAGGATAATTATATCCTTTCTGGATTCACAAAGAAATTATTAAAAAAAATTTTTCAATAAATTTTTGACAATTTGAAATGAATTTTTAATTTTTGCTTTTTATAAATTATAAAATACTAATAAATTATAAAATATTATTATAAAGTAATTAAATATTATAAAATGATACAAAAACCATAATATAAAATTTTCAGCTAAAAAATTTGATTTTAAGAACAAAGGGGAATTAAAAATAGTAGTTGAGGGCTAATTTCCTGTTCAATCGAGTTGATAATATTAGGTACAATATATTAAAAGAATGATATCACATAATTGTGTGTAAGAAATGTAATGAGTCACGGGTGCAAGCAAGTTCTTACAAGCACCCATTTTATTGCATGAAATGCGGCACCAGTCATACTCTCTCATTACATTCTTTATATAGTTAGTAATAACACTTGATTTTTCTTAACTCACGTATATGAGACTTTTGACCCATTGAATTTACTCTCATTTAATGAAACCATAAGGGTCACATTTTTGAGAGAAAATTGTCCGCAGTGAGAAAAAACACCCACACAATACATTTTCCTCGTAAACCAATATTATTGAGATAATAATATTTAGTTTAACTTTCACTCCTAAAATAGTTTTAAACATATATTTTCGTGTTGTAATATTTCCTCACTTTTCGCTCATATTTTCTTGAATTTCGCATTGAAACCACTTTTTTCTAATTGAAACAATTTTTTCTAAAATTGAAATAATTTTTTTTTAATAGTCGAAACCGCTTTTTTATAATCGAAACAATTTTTTTAATAATTAAAATAATTTTTTTATAATTTAGAAAATTTTTGCTCCAAAAAAACACAAAACTCTTTTTATGACAAAAATAGAATATTTCTATTCTTGATTTTTTCTTTTACAGTGAATGAAAAATTCTAATTTCAATAAATATTTTTTTAAATGCAAATAATTTGAATAATTTCAATCATTTAAAAAATAATTTCAATAATTTGAAAATTAATTTCAATAATTTCAATAATTAGAAAAAAAAATTTTTCTAGGTGAAATTCTATGTTGCTTCAATAAAAAATGTTTCTTTGTTTCAGGAAATTTAATAACTGTTTTGGCCTTATTAAAATATGCAAGACTGAGAAAGCATGCAACGACTGCATTCGTAATAAGTTTAAGTGTTTCGGATTTAATATTTTCATCGGTTAATCTGCCATTAACGGCGAGTAGATATTTATACGAGGCATGGGTACTTGGTGACGCTCTCTGTCAAGTGTTTCCCTTATTTTTTTATGGAAATGTTGCTGTATCACTACTCAGTATGGTGGCCATCACGCTCAACAGGTGAGGAGATCATTTAAAACCATTATATTCTAAATTTATTCTCCAACTGAGACGAAAATTCCAATTGTTTTTTCTTTTTGTTGAAAATTTTATTATATAACACCGGTGAAATTCACAACATTCACAATCAAAAGTTAAGAAAGAAATTTATTTTTCCAATATTTCCATTAATATTTTGTTAAAAAGCTATTTTTTTAATTTTTACTTAATACCAAAAATTAATTAGACCAAATTGTTTTCAATTAAAAATATTTCTTTGATAATTTTGAACATGAAATAATTGAAATTTATCCTAATTTTTCTGCTCCTTCTATTCTTTTTCCTAATTTATTTCTAATTTTCTCTAATCTAATTTTTCAAATCTTCAAAAATAATTTAATTCTTAGGAGAAATTTAATTAAAATAATATTAAAAAGACTAGAGAAATATTATTGAAATTTTCCAAAGTAATAGAATTTTTGCGAACAATTTTATTAAAATCCATTAAAATAATTAAATATCCTGCGAAGAATTTTATTACTTATGAACAGAAGTTAATTTTCGTAAATAATTTTATCAAAATTTTTCAAAGTAATGGAATTTCTGCAAAGAATTTTATTAAAATTCTTTAAAATAATTCAATTCTTGACAAAAATTTATTAAAATTTTCGAAAATAATTGAATTTTTTTGAGGCATTTAATTAAAATTGCATTGAAAATATTTCAATTCTCATGAAGAATGTAATCAAAATTTTTCAAAATAATTGAATTTTTGCTCTGAATTTTATCAAATTTTGAAAAATAATTGAATTTTATGAGAAATTTTATTGAGATTAATTGACTTTCTGCAAAGAATTTTATTTTTTAGAAAAATAAAAAAATCTTTTTAAAGTATTTAATTGAATTTTTTTGGTAATGTTTCAAAATAATAACATTGTTGCGAACAATTTTAATAAATTCTTTAAAATAATTAAATTCCTGCGAAGAATATTATTATTTATGAACAGAATTCAATTCTCGTAAATAATTTTATCAAAATTTTTCAAAGTAATTAAATTTCTGCGAAGAATTTTATTAAAATTCTTTGAAATAATTAATTTCCTGCCAAAAATTTTATTAAAATTTTCGAAAATATTTGAATTATAATAATTTAATTAAAATTATAATGAAAATATTTCAATTCAGTAAATAATTTTATCAAAATTTTTCGAAGTAATTGAATTTCTGCGAAGAATTTTATTAAAATTCTTTAAAATAATTAAACTCCTGCGACAACTGTTATTAAAATTTTCGAAAATAATTGAATTTTTTCGAAGAATTTATTAAAAATTTTATTCAAAATATTTGAATTTAGTAAATAATTTTATTAAAATTTTTCAAAGTAATTAAATTTATGCGAATAATTTTATTAAAATTCTTTGAAATAATTAAATTCCTGCGAAAAATTTTATTAAAATTTTCGAAAATATTTGAATTATAATAATTTAATAATTTAATAATTATAATAATTTAATTAAAATTGTATTAAAAATATTTCAATTTAGTAAATAATTTTATCAACATTTTTCAAAGTAATTGAATTTCTGCGAAGAATTTTATTAAAATTCTTTAAAATAATTAAATTCCTGCGAAAATTTTTATTAAAATTTTCGAAAATAATTGAATTTTTTCGAGGAATTTAATTAAAATTATATTGAAAATATTTTAATCGTCACAAAGAATTTAACCAAATTTTTTGAAAATATTATAATTTATGCGAAGATTTTTATAAACTTTTCAAAAATAATAATTGAATTCTTTAGAGAAATTTTATTAAATTTTTCGAAAATAATTGAATTTTTCGAGGAATTTAATTAAAATTGCATTGGAAATATTTCAATTCTCCTAAAGAATTTAATCAAAAATTTTTGAAACAATTGAATTTTTGCTAAGAATTTTATCAAATTTTAAGAAATTATTGAATTTTTTTGAGAAATTTTATTAAAATTATATTGAAAATATTTTAATCCTCGCAAAGAATTTAACCAAATTTTTTTGAAAATATTTGAATTTATGCGAAAAATTTTATCAAATTTTTAAAAATAATTGAATTTTTCGAGAAGTTTAATTAAAATTGCATTGAAAATATTTGAATTCTCATAAAGAATGTAATCAAATTTTTTTTTAAATAATTGAATTTTTGCGAAGAATTTTATCAAATTTTAAAAAATTATTGAATTCTTTTGAGAAATTTTATTAAAATTGGTGTACAATTGAAGAAATTGTTAATAGAAAAAATGTTAATGAAAGCAGAATATTCTTTTCACACGTCAAAAAATTTTATCTTTTAATCGTTCAGTAATAGTTGTGAACTTCATTTGACGTTAGATAAAAAATTAAAAAAAAATAATTTAAAAATTTTCCTTTCAATACCTAAATAAATAAAAAAAAAGTATTTTACTCTAGTACAATTATTTTTGTATTCCAGGTACGTTCTGATATCGAGATCAGATCTCTATCCCCACATTTATACGAGTCGTGGAATAACTTTAATGCTGATTACAATTTGGACCCTGAGTTTCTCGCTACTGATTCCATCGTTACTTGGCATTTGGGGTCGTCTCGGATTAGACCAGACAACATTTTCGTGTACAATATTAAAAAAAGGCGGTACAAGTCCAAAAAAATTACTCTTCATTCTTGGTTTTCTTGTGCCGTGCCTCGTTATAACGGTATCTTATCTTTGCATTTACTATCGTGTGAGGAGTAGTCGAAAAAATCTCGAGGCCCATTCACGTGGCAAGAGAAAAAGTACTGGATTTCAAAGACGTGAAGATTCAAGAGTCACGAGGCTGATGCTAATAATATTCCTTTGCTTTCTACTCTGTTTTATGCCACTAATGATAGCGAATGTCGTCGAGGATAAAGTGAAATTGCCAATTTTTCATGTGATTGCGTCGGTATTGGCATGGGCATCGTCTGTCATTAATCCATTTATTTACGCCGGTACCAATAAACTTTATCGCGCAGCATATCGACAATTATTGTGTCGTGGAAGTCGAAAAACACCACAATTAGGACCAAAGCCAATTTGCTCGCAATCGAGTAAGTTCTCCTCTCAGCCCACATGACAATTAATTAATTCCGAGAGTTTGGATGTGATTTAGAAATTTCTGTAATCATTTGAAAGTGATTAATTTGATTACGACAAGAAGAAGAAGAAGAATGATAATTATCTCGATTTAAGACGAATTACCTTAATTCACTTAAGGCTCCAGATCTGGAATCACATGGGAAGAAAAGAACAGCGAAAGGGGGGAAAATACGAGAGAAAGAAGAATTAAATATTTTGTACGAGAACCAAAAATTTAGTTGATAATATTCTCGGAGTGAACTTGAAAGTGAGCTCTCTAAAACCAAGTATTATTCGATTTTATACGAGTGAAGTATTTAACTATAGAATTTATTGTAAAAATTACCTTTTCCAAGAACGAGTAGCAAAGGAATTTCATTTAAAAAAATCAAGACTAATTTTCTTTTGCAAAAAAAATTTCCACGTCAATTATAACTAAAAAAAAAAAATGTTTGGAAAAATTACTCTCTTCGGAAATAACTTCTGAAAATTGATAAAAATTAGTAATTAGTAGCATTTAAATTAATTTCTACTCCTAGAAATAGAGGAAGTAATTAAAATTTGTAAATTCAGAAAAAAGAAACAATTTTAATATAAAATGCAGTAAAATGAAATACAAAATTTTTTTTTTGGTATTACACTCGCTATAAACATAGTGAATCTGTATGTTTGTATATGTCTGTGGCTTTTAAGTACTGAAAGCTTTAAATTATACTTTAAATGTTTAAATGGAATGGACGAATACTGTAATGTAAATATACAGTCTACAATATTATTAAAAAATTGCAATTAAATTTGTCTTTCATTATTTACCAGCTAAATTAATTTAACACACAAATTTGTTCATTTTCGATTTTTTACAATTATTTTCTCATTATAATAGAATATGGCATAAAAATACGTTTTTATCGTTAATTTAATATGGGAGATTTTTCGAAAAATACAGTCGAGTTTCTTATATTATTATTTTTTTTTTTACTTTTTAAATGCACTTTGAATGATATTTTTCATTTCCTTGAGAGATTTTTCAATTATCAATATTTTTTTTTTAAATTAAAAGAAACGAAAAATTACTTCGAAATACATGAAATATTTTGTGACCAATTTCTTTTTCTTACATATAAAAATTGAGAGTAAAAATCGACATATTCTGATGATATTAATTATATTAATCTATCACTCTTTTGTTATAAATTTGTCCTTTGAATTCAATTCAAAATTAATACTAAAAAACTATAAAACTAAGAACACAAGAGTTAAAAATTCCAAACGAAATTTTCCAATGAGTCTGACTTCAGTCAATTGAGAATATTTATTAAATATTCAAAATTCAAAAAAATTAAAATGTTAGTTTTAAAAACTAAAAGAAAAGAAAATTTTGAATAATTAAATTAATAAAAATTAAAAAGAAGAAAATTTAAAAATTTTCTAAACTAAGAAAAGAAAAACTAAAAGTTAAAAAAGGAAAATTATAAATTTTAAAAACTAAGAGAAAGAAAATTTAAAAATTTTAAGTTAAAATAAAATAATTTAAAACAAATGTTAAATATGCACTATTTCTAAGAAATGTGTTTTCTTTTAGAGTCTAAAATAATCTTTGAAAGTAAACAATAGATATAAATTTTAATTTATAAAATAATAAAGTATTTTTTTTTTGTAGATTAGAAAAAAAAAATTATTGTCGATTAATATCGACAGAGTGAATCTCACTTTTTTCTTAAGTCTATTAAATATGGACGGATATAAATTTCATAAAAAAGATTCTTGATTACCTGTAAAATGAATGATATACGAAAATATGAAAGCGGAGTATATCGAATCAGATCTAAAATCTCATCAGCAATGATTTTTTTTGTTTAAAATACATTTGGTAACTCCTTACTTTTTTTTTTGCGCGCGTGGATAAAATACTTGATATTTTTGTTTGCTTATTTTGCCATTAATTAAAATGACATCTTGTTTATTCTAATTAAGCTCCAGGTCAGGTAAATAAGGCTCGGTGACTGTTGTAATCGGGCAGAGACTCAATGTATCCTGAAAGAAGAGAAAAATAAGAATTTTTTGCCGAAAAAAAGTAAGAAAGTAATTTGTAAATAAAAAAGTAATTTATAAATGAAAAAATAATTTAGAAATTAAAAATCAGTTTATAAATAAAAGAAAACTATGTTGGTGAAGTTCATAACGTTTATAATCAACGATTTAGAAGAAACAAAATTTTTCCATTCAAATATTTTTTTACTGTATTTTTTATTTTATTTCTTAATTAATATTGTAAACAATTTGTGTTCTTTTCTTGTTTGAAAAATATCTAAACCAAAAATATTATTATTTTTGGGTAAAAAGTATTTTTTTCACCAATTTTCAAAAAATCTTTAAGTTGAAAGCTTCTGAAATTTAATTTTACTAAAAATTGTTTAAATCAATTATTTTTAATATTTCGAGAAAATTCTTTAAGAAAAACAGAAAGTGTAGTTAAAATTGTATAAAATACACGAAATTTTGATGATTCGAAAATTATTCATTTTAATTAATTTCAAAAATTCCAAAAAATTACTGACAAGTTACTAATTTAAAAAAAATTTAATCTAGATTTTCAAATTTATTAAGAATTTTTAATTAAAATTATTTAAAATTCATATCTTAACAAATTTCAATTTGAAACCTTATGAAATTGAATAACTTTCAATAATAAATTGTTTTCTAGAATTTTTAATTAAAATTTTTTTCTAAATCAATTATTTTCAGTAATTTCTGGAAAGTTTTTTGAGAATCCAATTATTCAAAAAAGAAAAAAAAGTTAATTTAAAATACAACTTAAAATTCAATTTTTTTCAATTCAATTTCACAAAATTTCGAATATTTAACAATTTTTCAAGTAATTTTTTTTTATTTTAGCTAATTTCAAAAGACTTTATTTGAAAGTTTTTAAAAAACTGAATTGTTCAGAATTTTTAAATTTAAATATTTCCTAAAATTTCTACTGCAACTCTCCCAAAATTCAAATTTTAGAAGTTTTTATTAAAATTTGTCTCTAAATAAATTATTTTTAATAATTTTAAGAAAGTTTATTGAAAATTAAATTATTTTCCAAAATTTTTAACTTAAATTATTTTCTAATGCCATTATTTTTAGTACCTAATTTTAAGAAAATTTTGTGAGAATTTAATTATTTAAAAAATGAAAATTTCATTCAAAATAAATCTAAAATTAAATTATTTTCAATTCAATTTTACAAAATATCGAGTATTTTAAAATTTTTCAATCAATTTTAGACAAATTTTAACTATTTTCAAAAAGATTTTATTTGCAACTTTTTGAAAAACTAAATTATTCAAAATTTTGAACTTGAATTCTCACCGAAAATTTCTACTGCAACTCATCCAAAATTCAATTTTCTGAATTTCGAATTAAAATTGTTCTCTAAATTAGTTATTTTAAATAATTTTCAGAAAGCTCTTCAAGAATTAAATTATTAAATTATAAAAATTAATTTTTTTAAAGTTATTAATAAGAATTATTTTTAATATTTAACCAAAAATATTGAAAACAATTGATTTTTAAAAAATCTCTCAAAAATTGTAATTGAGTTTTGTCTAAAAAAAAATTCTAAAAATATGCTTTTTTAAAAAATATTTTAATAAAATGTAATAAAACTAATTTTTAATATAAATCTTTATTTTCAAATTTTGAGAATTCAATTTTTTTTTAAATTTTTAAATAAAATTTTTCTCTTTATTAAATTATTTCGAATAATTTTCAAAAAGTTCTTCGATTCAATCATTTAATTATAACAATTTAATTTTTTTAAAGTTATTAATAAATATTATTTTCAATATTTAACCAAAAATATTGAAAACATTTGATTTTTAAAAAATAAAAATAAAAAATTAATTTTTTTATAAATATTTATAATAATTTTTGTAAGATGATTGATTTTTCAATTACGTACAATTGAAAAATTTCCATGTAACTGAAATTTAGTGTAATCTTTCAAAAGAAATTGAATTTTCGGAAAATTTTTAAAAATAAAGTTTTTTAAGGAATTTTATTTGCCAATTTTGAAAAAATATCAAAAATTGTATAATTGAGTTTTAAAAAGAAATTCTAAAAATTGCTTTTCCTTAAAATATTTTAATAAAATTCTATGAAACTATTTTTTATTAATTTTCATTTTCAAATTTTGAGAATTCAATCATTTTCAAAATTTGCAAATTAAAATTCTTCAAAAAATTGATTTTAAAAAATAGTTATTGATACACAAAAAAATTACTTATTTTCATAAAAATTTTACAAAACTTTAATTATTTAAAAATTGTATTAATTAAATATTTGTAAATTCAATTATTTCGAAAAAAAATATTTAAAAGTAATTTTTTTATCAAATTATTCAAACATAATTTTTTAATAAAATGATTCAAAAATAATTTTTATATGCAATTTTATCTTCAAAAATCAAAATAAGCATCTGCAGTTTATACCAAAATGGTGGTATCTTTTTGCTGTATGTGAAAGAAAAGTCGAAATAGTCGCATTTTTTGAAAATGAGTAAAAAAGTCGCATTTTTTTCAAAAGTAGACAAAAAAAGTCAAAAATCATTTTACCCGAGACCTTCAAACCTTGTAAACTTTCACCCCCGCCGAAAAAACTTACCAATCGAACTAATTCATCAAAAGTCGGTCGCTCATGATCATCGACACTCCAACAAGAGAGCATAACTTCATAAACAGGATCGGGAGTGTCTCTCAATTGTTCGAGTCTCACTCCTTTCTCAAGAGCCTCCTCGACATCACTATCGAGCTGAAGATTCGAATAAGGAGTCCCTCCCATACTCAGCATCTCCCACAAAAGTACACCAAAAGCCCAAACAACACCAGCCTGATGTTTCTTTTGATTACTGAAACATTCAATAGCCGTCCATCGTGCATACTTAAAATCCTCCAATGCATATTTTCCAATTCCATGACCCATTACTTTCGGCGTCCAATCACTCGATATTCCAACACTCCTAGCGCACAATTGATTATGAATAATTTTATTATTCTCCAAATGTCTCAATGCCCCCGCAATTGCCGATCCAATTTTCAATATTTTCTCCGAGGGAAAAATCTCCCCCGATCGCGATGCAAGAAGTTTATTCTTCAGCGTCTGCGATGGCATTTCCATGGCAATAAACAATGTATCGGACGTTTCACAAGTGCCAATGAGACCGGCGAGGAATTTCATTGAACCGGCTTTTATGCAAATATCCAATTCGCGAAGCATTTGTCGTTTCTCCGATTTTTTGAGTGAAGTGTCGGAAATTTTGTGAACACTCGACGATATTGTAATTCCGTCTTTCTGCACCTGACCCCAGTGAATTGTACCAAATCGACTACGTCGAAGGGGCACGTTGTCGAAATTGAGAAAATTTCTCGGTATCGTCCAGATTTTGCTCTTCAAGTCCTGATAGTGATTTGCCTGTTCGGGCACGTCCTCGGGAATATAGGCCATATTATCGACTTCGTAGAGTGGACCCTGTAGGGTTAGTTCCTGTTGTTCGGGTAATTTATGCATTCGGCCCTGTCGATGTTTTCGCTTTAGGACAAAATACATGACGATTGAGATCAATAGCAGTGAGCTGAGAATTACTATCGCTATCCAGAGGATAATTGCGGTTATATTCACTGGCGATTGTGTGAATTTTCGACGATCGTGAAAACTCTTTGTCAAATCGGAATAACTGTATTGAACGCTGTCACGATTTCTCGAGACGATGACCAATCCAATTTGCGGTGTTACATCGACATCGAGAGGTGCATTAAAGTAGCCACCGATTGTGTTCCCATCGCCAATGGTGAATTTTGAGTAGCGAGGGAAATCGAAATCGTCAAATTCAGCGGTGACGTAGTAGCCGAGATCGTCTTCTTTATTCACTGTTTGCTCGTAACTTGGATAGGCGATATCGTTTCCTGTTGGAGGGAAAATTCCCGGTTGAACGACGACGATTTGATAGAATGTTATGGGTCCGTTTTCACTAAAGCCGCGTGTTAATTCGATTAGCATTGTTTTGCCTTTTTTCTCAATTAATCGAGGTGTTTCGGGTTTATTGGGTGGACCGATTAGAGTGCGATCGGTGTTGAATACTGGATCGCTGAATCCATTTAAATTGTGTGCGACGACGGAAATATTGTATTCGGTTCCTGGTTGAAGACCTTGGAATATGGTTGTGTTTGAATAGCCACCTTCGACTTTGATTTCAATCGGTGGCAATGGATTTGAGGCGAAAGTTTTTATTACCTCGGCTCTTAGGGTGTAGGAGGTCAAATTGCCATTTGGATTGTCAGGTGGTTGCCAAGTCACTTTTAAAGCACCCGGTCTGTCGTGATAGATGTCTATTCTCCTCGGTGGACTCGGACCTAAAGAAAAATTTAGCTTTAGAGACTTTATTTTAATATTTTTAAATTAATTATTATGAAACTTGAAGAAAATGATCTTCATCCAGAGTGTCTACTATTTTCGTTCAACAAAATTGAATATATTGCGAAGAAATTTTAATTATTTTTAATAGAATGTAAAGAAATTTCAATTATTTCAAAAATTTCCAATTATTTGTTTATAAAAATTCAATTATCTTGAAACAACAGAATTGAAAAATTTCAAAAATCTTATTTTTCAGAGTTTTAAAAAAAACTTTGCGAAAATTCAATTTTATTAAAAAATTTTAAGTGTGTATCTTTTTTTAAATTAACTAATAAAAATTTTAATTATTAATCTTCGAACTAAGAAACATGAATACAGTAGAATGTAATTCTTTATAAAATTCAATTATTTATCAATTATTAAATTAAAATACTTTGAAAATTCGATTTGTTAAAAAGTTTTTAATGAAATACTTTAACAAATTTAATTATTTTCAGTTGAATTTCACAAAATTTCTATTAATTAGATCATTTTTTAAAAATTTATTTACATACTACATTTATTTATTTATTTTTTACTATATTTATTGAGAATTTTCAAATTCATTTGTTTACAATTCAATTTTACGAAATTTCAATTCTACTAGAATTCAATTTTTTAAAAACAAAAATAAATAATAATTTATTGAATAATTGAATGTTTCTTAAAATTGAATTCTCATACAGAATTTTATGAAAAAATTTTTAAATAATTGAATTCTTTAGACGAATTTTAATAAAATTTTTAAGAATAATTACATTTTTCGAGAAATTTGATTAAAATTGTATTAAAAATAATTGAAATTCTGCTATGAGTTTTATTATTTTTAAAAATAATTGAATCCCTAAGAATTAAAATTTTTTGAACATAATTGAATTTCTGCAATAATTTGTAACAAGAAATCAAATATTTTTTTTTAATGGTAAAATACTTCACAGAAATTCAATTATTTTCTAATACTTTAAACAAAGTCTTGTTAAAAATTCAATTTTTTCTATGAATAATTGAATTTTTCATAGAAATTGAATCATTTTCATAAATAATAAATTTTTTCAATTTTAATTTGTTTCTACGAATAACATTTTTAAAATTACATAATTGAATTTGAAATATTTTCATAAAGAATTTTATCAACAAATTTTTAAAAACTTGAATTCTTTTGACGAATTCTAATAATTTCTGGAAAATTTTTGTTATTTATGAAAGTAATTAAATAATTGTGTAAAATTTTATCAAAAATTTTTTTTAATAATTGAATTCTTTTGGAAAATTGGTGAAAATAATTGAAATTTTGCCAAGAATTTTATTAAAATTTTTAGAAATAATTAATTTTCGGAAAAGAGTTTTATTATTTATAAAGATAATTGAAATTTTGAAGAGAACTTTTCTTAAATTTTGAACATAATCTAAAATTTTAACTGAAATTCATTTTTAAATCAATTTTTATTAGAAAATTCTACGAAATATACATATATAAATAATTGAAATTTTACAATGAGTTTTATTAATTTTGAAAATAATTAAATACCTAAAAAGAATTTTATTATTTATGAAAATAATTGAATTTTTTGTAAAAAAATTTTACTATTTATGAAAATAATGGAATTGTTGCGAAGAAATTTTTAAAAACTTTGTATATAATTGAATTCCTGTGAAATTTTTATTATTTATGAAAATAATTAAATGTTTCCGCAGAATTTGATTAAAATTTTATTTTTAGTCATTTGAAAAGAAATTATTGCCCAAAAATAGAAAAATTTGAAGGTTTTGTATTTAGATTTCAAGAATAAACACAAATTCAAGTTTTTTTGAAAAGAAGTTGAAGAAAGTTGCTTTTTTGAAAAATATTCCAGAAAAGTTTCGAAAATCGAACTATGCGAGGCCTGTACGGTTAAATAAATAGAATAAAATATTCTTGACAGTGAATAAAATACCTTTTCGACCGGTTGCATAAATACTAATTGCATTAAAAGATCCGCACATATTCGTGTCATTATTTGCACTCAAACATGGCATTGTGCAATTTTCCGATAATCCACTTTTTCCGAATGTGCTGCCACAATAGCATTTTTGACCAGCCATTAAACCGGCGAACCTGCAAGAATTTCTCCTTTTCAATTAAAAAAAATAGAAAGCACTTAACTAATGAACTACATAATTAAATTTCGTGCGATCAATATACTCAAAATTTAAATACTACATTTTTTTCCTTTTCAACGATAAAAACTCGTTAAATTCCGTTTAAGAAATTTTAAATAAGTAAATAATGAAAATAAATTTCTATAAAACAAAATTCCGCAAGAATTAAAAAACAAAACTAAAAGAAAAATTCATACTTATCTGTCCATGAAAAGAAAAAGAAACTATTTTTTGTTATCAAAACTCACATGAAATAATGAGATCGACATTCCTCGATGCAACCTTCAGGTGATCCAAAATCTTTCGAACTTTCCACATTTAATTCAGGATTATTTGCTGAACTTTTGTAACATCCGAGATATTCTAAACCAAATAGAACATCAACTCCAAAAATGATAATGAACCATATCGCAAACATATTGATTTTTCTTTTCATCCTTTTTTTTCTTTTTGACGTAAAATATTCACTCGCGTTTGATATTGAAAAGAATTATCGAGAAATGCAGCATGTTTTTCCGAGGAGAACAATGAAGTCTGAGTCAGCTATCAAATAGCTAACATAACAGAATAACATTATAAAAACATGATGCATTCATACCACGATTCATACACAAATTTTTGAGGTTAGATTCCAATTTCTTTTAATTGGATATATTCCTTCTTTAATAACAGTATTTTTGATATTTTCCACTGTGAGCACTTGTAATTGTCCTTTTATTACTGCATTCAATTGTTAAAAATATAAATACTTGCATGTAAACGAATTAAAATTAAACCTTGACATATTTTCTTTTTGAAAAAGTATTGTTTGACAAGTTTAACAACACTCTTCAGGGTGCGGTTGTGTATTTTCATTTGTTTGGGAAATTACCGCACGGGAATTATGGGAAGGAGAATATTACCGGGAATACCCGTTCGGCGCGAAAATTCAAATTCAAAATATTTTCTATCGACATTATTAATTAGTCTATTGTTTATTAACATTAAAATTTTATTCATATCTCCGTATATCATAATTCTAAGAAGTATTATATTAATTTTATTGCAATAACAAATTAATATAAAAATATTCCAAGGAAAATTGTTACATTAGATAAATTTTTTTCATAGTTATAAAAAATTAAAATAATAATTATTAAATTACGAAATGTATGTTAGTAATAAGTTTTTTTCTTTTTTCTACAAAAATTTCTCTTAAAAAAATAATTTTGTTCATAGGGAAAAAAATTTAAATAATTAAATCCTTAAATATACTTAATTAATAAATTATAAATAAACAATAATAATTATTAATAATAAATTTCAGAAATTAGGAACATAATTAATTAACTACAACAAATAAAATGCTATAAAAATTAAATTTAAAAAAAAATGAAATAATTGTTTTTAAAATTAAAACACTAAAAGATAATTAATTGACATTTATAATAATTGTAAAAAAAATTTATATTTGGAAAAATACTATGATTGTTAAAAACAATTGAAACAATTGTTTGTAATTATTAATTAATTAATTAAAAAGTTGAAAATTTATCATCATGAAAAAATAATTAATTGACAATTAATAATGATAATAATTGGCAAATAAATTTTTTTTAAATTCTAAGAAGTTGTATAATTGTAAAAAAAAATATAATTGTTAAAAACAATTGAAACAACTGTTTTTAATTGTGAAAAATTGAAAATTTAATATCATCACACAAAAATAATTAATTGATAATTAACAATTATAATAAAGTTGAAATAAATTTTTTTAACTGTCATAAATTATATAATTGTCAAAAATAATATCATTGATAAAACAATTTAAATAATTGTTTAAATTATACAAAATTAAAAATTTAATATCAATCACTGAGATATAATTAATTAACAGTTAAAATAATTATTAATGAATAAATAATTGTTATTACGTAAGTTTATATTTACTGCAAAATATAATATAATTGTTAAAAACAACTGAAATAATTATTTTTTATTGTAAAAAATCGAAAATTCAATTTCAGCACTAAAAGATGATTAATTAAACATTCGAATATAATTGTAAAATAAATTTTTATAATTGTAAAAAATAATGTAATTGTTATAAGTAATGTAATTGTGAAAAATAAAATATTAAAAGTGTTAAAACTAACGTAATTGTTAAAAACAATTGAAATAATTGTTTAAATTTTAAAAACATTGAAAACTTAATTTGTTTACTGAAAAATAACGAACTGACAATTAAAATAAGAAAATAATTTTTCATAACGCGGTGCAAAAAAGGGCACTTTTTTGCACCTTGTTATAAAAAATATCGTTCGTAACTAGTGCTAGCAGTTGCCAATTTTTGAACGAGCACTTTTTTTGGAACAAACTGTAGGCGAAGCTTCGCTTCGCCTACAGTTTGTTCCAAAAAAAGAGCTCATTCAAAAATTGACAACTTCTCGCACTCGTTACGAAATATACTATTTTGTAATGTAAAACAAGATAAACTTTATTGTTAAAAACAATTAAAATAATTCTTTAAATTGTAAATAATTGAAAATTTAATTTCGTCAGTAAAAAATAATTTATTTTTAATTACAATAATTGCAAAATTAATTTGGATAATTGTAAAAAACAATATAATTGTTAAAATTTAAAGTCAATTGAAATAATTGTTTTTAATTGCAAAAATCAAAAATTTAATTTCATCATTAAAAGAATAATTAATTTTCAATTACTATAATTGCAAAATTAATTTTTATAGTTGTAAATAATATTATAATTGCGTTCAAACAATTGAAAACTAAAATAAAAAATAAAAATAAAATAAAAACAATTCAAAAATGGTATTAATTCTAAAAAAATTTAAAAAAATTAATATCATCGTAAAAATCATAATTAATTGACAATTAAAATAATTGTAAAACAAATTTTTACAATTATAAATCAATAATTATTAATTCAATATCTGACAAGACCTGCTTTTCATAATAAATAAGCGAGGATTATCAAATGATTCATTTTTAAAAATTCAAAGAAAAAAATTATTAAAAAAAAACAATGATTGTTTCTTTTAATTTACGACATTGTCACTTCCAAGTAAGATATCTCTAAAATTATTTTAAAAAAATTGAATATCATAATTTGTCAAATATACAAAAAATAAACTATTTTTCACACTAATTTTTCGATAACTCGTAAACTCGTAAACAAAAATAAATTATTTTTTATATATTCATTATTAATTCGCATTATTTACATAAATAGTACAAACAGAGGAAAATGTAGGCAAAATTATTATCCACTGATAGCCATTAATGTCCGTACATTTAAGATAAAGTTAAACATTACTTTGATATTGTTATCTTTACAAGTAAAATGAACAATTTATTTTTTCAGCATCGACACTTTAATAAAAATTTTTACCTATTTTTTTGTTTTCTTTTTTTTTCTTACATACAATAAACACTATTTTACGTCATAGACTCTTAAAAGTTTATATTATTTGCATTTAAAAAGAAAATGTACACGCAATTTTTGTATAAGTGTCCTTATTTCTTTGCGGTAATTATTGATAAAACGTGTATTTAATCGAATGTTAATTTCAAATGTTTCCTTATATGCGTCTCAAAATATTGTTTTTCGTTATATAGATTGCTACCTTGACAGTACTATATATATAAAAGACTTCTCTTCATTCTTTTAATTAGTTCACTATATTGTTAACCGCATTATAGAAGTGCAGTTGTAACAATTTTTATCTCGAGGTATTCTTCAATGATATTTAATAAATAATAATAAAATTTAATCAAGATTCAAATTTACGAAAAATCGTTTAAATAACATTTCCTACTTTTATATTTTAAAGAATTAAAAAAAAACAATTTTAATAATTTTCCTTATTAATAAGCAAAATTTACATTATGAAAAATTCTCCTCTTTTTCATTTTCTACGTTTCATTTATATATAGAGGAGAGAAAAAAAAATCTGCAGAGAAAACTTGTAGTGCATCAACAGACTTCAAACTATTCAATAAATTGTGCAATTAACGAAAAAATTATTTATTATCTGCAAAATTGTTATAGAATATTTTGTATATTATAACAAATTAACATGTCATTGGTGATTGTACTTTAAGTTTGAATATTTATACGATAAATTAAAATATGATAATTATTTACGATACCAAGTAATAATAATGTCGGAATTTTTTTTTAATAGATGCGTCAATTAATACTGGTGATTGCAACTTGTTTAACTTATGCTGTCATAATTAGTGGACAAAGTAAGGAAATGATAAAATATTAATTTAGAATTAGTAATAATATTAATAATAATCATAATAATTTGTTTATTTTCTATTTATTTATTTACTTACGGGACAAGCCCTTTCGTAATATTAGTAATAATCTAATAATAAAAGAATAATAATAAAATAAAACCTCTCCTTCCCGAATACAAAAAAAAAAAATTAATAAAAATAATAAACATAATAAAAACAATAAAAAATAATAATTATAATAAAAAAAAAATTAAAATAAAAGAAAGAACAATAATTTTGACAATGATAATAATAATCAGATGAAGAAATATCAATCATCCAAGTCAAGAAAATGACTCGAAACTGTTTTTACATTTCGATTTTTCAATTCTCTATTGTAGAACGCAAAAAAATATTTAAATTTTAGATAAATTAAAATTAAATTGATTTAACTTCTGAAAATTGAGTGTGTTTCATTTTTGTCGGCATGAGTTTGATAATTAATTTTTCTAATTGCTATTATGTATTATTTTTTACTTAAGAAATAAATTCATTACAAAAGATGAATAATAATACACTGGAAAAAATTCTTTGATTCAAATAACCAATTACTTGTGTTTTAAATAAATAAATAAACAAATAAATATTTTATTTATTTATTACTATAAATCTTTATGTTCAAATAAATGTTTACTTGAATCAAATAATTTTTATATTTAAATCAAATAAATTTGATTTGCGTCAAATAAATTGTATTTGAACCAATTATTTCAATATTTGAAGCAAATATCATTTAATTAATTAAAATAAAAATTATTTTATTCAAGTAAATATTTGTTTGATAGACAAGTAATTCGTTATTTGAATCAAATAATTTTTTTTTTCAATGCAAAAAGTTTAAGAAATAATTATGTTTAAAAAATAAGTTAATTAATTAATTAAGTTTGAAAAATAATTATAATAACAATAACAACAAAATAAATAAATTATTTAAATGAGCAAGTATAAAAAAATAAAAAAAATAAAAAAATAAAATATTTATTTTAAATTAATAATATAATTATAAATACAGCAAAAATACTAATTTATAATTCAACTAAATTGAATTTAATTTGATATAATAAAATTCAATAAGACTAGAGTTTTGTCAAATAATTAAGTTAATTAATACCTAATAAATAAGCTTTAATTTTACAGAAAGAGTTGTTTGTTATTATGCAAGTTGGGCAACGTATCGTAAAGATGAAGGAAAATATGATATTGCAAAAATAAACCCATCACTTTGTTCACATCTAATTTATTCATTCATTGGACTTAATAATGATGGTACGATTAAAATTCTCGATGCATGGATCGATGTGAGGCAAAATGGATTTAAAAATTTTAATGCTCTTCGCAATAAGAGTCCGTCAACTAAAACATTAGCTGCAATCGGAGGTTGGGCCGAAGGCTCAGAAAAATTCTCCAAGTGAGTATTTTTTTAATAATAGAAAAAGATTTTTTTTTCAATTTTCAACATACATAATATTAAAATTATACCGAAACTTTAGTTATCATAAGCTTCAAAATCCTTGGCAGATGCAAATTATTTTCCTTTTTTTAATAAAAAATACTAGAAAATTGTTAATTGTTAAAAAATTTTTGATTAAGAATTATGAAATATATCCATTTTATGCATAATTTTTATTTCTCAATAACAAATTCATTCTTTTCTTTTGGAAAAAAAACACCCGTTTCTTAATATTTTTGTATAAAATTCTCAATTTTCATAAGAAAATAATTTGCATCAATTCTATTTCTTAATTGCAATTTTTTAAAATAAAATTCAACGTTTTTAAAAAATAAAGAAAACAAATGTTTATAAATTATATTTGTCAAATAGAAAATTTAATTGAAAAAGAAACTGAAATTTTTTTTGAATTTTTAGAAAATAAAGGAAAAAATTTTCTGTTAAATTTATTTACGAATATCTTTAGTTGTAAAATTATTCGAAAATAATAATTTCTTTTTCAAATATTTTAACGACGGTGAAGTTTACAACATTTATTATCAACTATTGCAAGAAATAAAATATTTTTCTTGACAAAAACAATAAAATATTTTGTTCAAAAATTTATCTATTTCAAATTAATGATAAAAAAATTCACGAGAGTTTTTTTTTGCAAAAATATGTAAAAACTTTGAATAGAAAACATTTTTTCTTCTAAATCGTTGATTATTATAATTATAAACGTTGTGAACTTCACCAACGTACATTTTAAATATTTAACCTCTAAGAAGAATTTTATTATTTTTTAATATAATTGAATCCTTGTGAAAAATATTATTATTTATGAAAATAATTGAATTATTGCGAGGAAATTAATTGAATTAAGTGAAATTTTTGAAAATAATTGAAATTTTGCCAAGAATTTTATTAAAATTTTTGAATTTTAAAAAACAATTTTTTTGAACATAATTTTGAACATAATTGAAATTTTGACGAAAATTATTAATAATTTTTAAACATAATTGAATTTTTGCAAAGAATTTTTTTTACTTTTAAAGATAATTGAAATTTAGACAAGAATTTTTAAAAATTTTTAAACATAATTAAATGTTTACATAGAATTTTATTAAAATTTTTTTTTTTTAATAATTGAAATTTTGCCAAGAATTTTATTAAAATTTTTCGAGAAATGAAAATGATTAAATTCCTGTAAAATTTTATTATTTCTGAAAATATTTGAATTATTGAGAAGAATGAATGCGTACAATTTTATTAAAATTGTTTTGGGTAATTTGATTAAAATAGTAGATATTGAAAATCATTGAAATGAGGAAAATTTTTGGAAAGTAATTAAAATTTTCACAAGAATTTTATTAAAAAAATTTTTTTTTTATAAAAGTTTTGAAAATAATTGAATTTTAAAGAAGAATTTTTTTATTTTTAAAGATAATAACTGGGATTTTGTCGAGATTTTTTTGTAATTTTTAAACAAAATTGAATTTTGTGATAAGAATTTTATTACTTTGGAAAATAATTGAATTTCCGCAATTATTTGTAATTTCTTCAAAATTCAATTTTTTTTAGTGTTTTTAACTAAAATTAAAATTCTAATAAAATTCATTCAACATTAAAATTTTATAAAATTTCAAATTGAAACAGTTTGAACTTAATTTATTTATGAAAATTGTAAACGCAACTCTTTTAAAATTGAATTAATTTTGAAATATTTAAGTAAAATTATTCATTAAATAATTTATTTATTTTATGATAGTTGTTCAAGATTTAAGTTATTTAAAAAGAAATTTTTTTTAGAAATTGAAAAAATTGAAGGTTTTGTGTTAGAATTTGTGGTAATTTCATAGTTTCTAAGGCAAACGGAAAGGAGACCAAAATTCAGAATTTTCTTATGAATTCTAAAAATTTAATTTTTTTCAGTAAAAAATTCCTAATTTTTCCTTGAATTTCCTGTGTCAGAATATATGATTATTATAATTAAAATAATATTAAAACTATATATTCCAATTCATATTTTATTTTTATAAAAAAAAAATTTGTATACAAAATTTTTACGTACTATTATTTTAAAAATCGCTAATTTTATTTAAAAAAGTGAGTGAAATAATGATTATATCGCTCGGTCAGTTTTATAATAATTTAAATACAAAAGTAAATTATTTATTGAATAATTAAATGTTTTTTTAAATTTTAGTTCCTATAAAGAATTTTATTAACAAATTTTTAAATAATTGAATTCTTTTGACGAATTTTAATAAAATTTTTTATAGAATAGTTACATTTTTCAAGGAATTTGATTAATATTATTAATTACTATTATTAATATTAAAATATTATTACCTAATAAATAAATATTATAAATAATATTATTATTAAATTATGTCTAAAAATTTCTTTTCAGTGTAGTAAGTAATCCAGGATTAAGAGCAAAATTCATCAACGAAGCTGTGAAATTTTTAAAAACTTACGGATTCAATGGTCTTGACTTAGATTGGGAATATCCAGGCCAACGACCAGGATCAAGACCAACTGATAAGGATAATTTTTCCCTCTTGGTGAAAGAACTTAAGGAGAGATTTAGTCGCGAGGGCCTAATTTTATCAGCAGCCGTGAATCCTACTCCATATACAGCTGGATTGTCTTATAATATTCGTGAAATTTCCAAACATCTTGATTTCATTAATTTAATGACATACGATTATCATGGAACTAACAATGACAAACGAGTTGGACACAATGCACCACTTTTTGCATCGCCACAAGAAACTCCCGATGAAAAACAATTGAATTGTGTGAGTATATTTTCATTGTTAAAAATTATAATCTGGATGGGACTTTCCTATACAGTGGAAAATATTCCAAGTAGTATTGTATATTTGAAAAAATACACATACAATATAACTTCCAATTCGTAGGAAAATGGGTCACTATAATATAATCGAATCTTCAAAAATCTTATCGAAACTGTTATAGAAATGTAAATTTTTTTTTTTTTTTTTTTGAAAATTGGAGTTTAATGGAAACTGTCATTAGGGTTTATTTATAATACTCATTTACACACGGAGAAAAATATAAAGTAACTTTTACTACTTTTATAGTAAAAAATTTCCAGTAAAGCATTTCTGGTAATTTTTACTACTTTTGGAGTAAATTTTGCTACTTTTGAAGTAAATTTTACTAATTTTTACAAATATTTACTTTAAACGTAGCAAAATTTACTCCAAAAGTAGTAAAAATTACCAGAAATGCTTTACTGGAAATTTTTTACTATAAAAGTAGTAAAAGTTACTTTATATTTTTCTCCGTGCAGTGAAACCTGTCGGAATCGATTTTTTAATTTTTTTTTTTCTTTTAAGGATGCCTCTGTGAAATATTGGATATCGCAAGGTGCACCACGAGAGAAAATTAATCTTGGAACTGCATTTTATGGAAGATCATTTACCCTGGCCAATCCAAATCTACATAAAAGAGGATCACCAGCAACTGGTCCTGGAAAAGAGGGACGTTTGACTGGTGCAGCTGGAACTTTAGGCTACTATGAGGTCTGTGAAAATACTGACAAGAAAGGATGGAAAGTCGAATACGATGCAGAGCAGCACGTGGTCTATGCTTTTCAGGGAAATCAAATTGTCGGATATGACGATGTCAAGTAAGATCTATTCTTTTTCTCTAAGAAAATAATAATTCCAAATATTGTCTCACTAAATTTTTTTACTAAAATAATACAAAATAATTTTTTACCATTTACATAGTAAAACCAGGCTTGGCACTCATCTACTAAAATCTATTATTTACTCCTTTTTTAGCATTATAGGTACTATTTGGATACTTTTTTTAAATTTATGACACTAAAACCAACTTTTTTCTATTTTTCTTTTTTCAAAATTTAAACTGCTTTAAAATTTAAATTCGCTAATAGTTGAAGTAAAATAATTATTAATTAATTATTAATAAATATTCTTCTTAGAAACAATTCGAAAATTTTTTTAAAAGAATTCAATTATTTTCACAAATAATTAAATCCTTCGCTGAAATTCAATTATTATTTTCACAAATAATTAAATCCTTCGCTCAAATTCAAGTATTTTAAAAATCTACAATTTTAATAAAATTTCTCAAAAGAATTCAATTAATTAAAAAAAATTAGTAAAATAGTTCGCAAAATTTAATATCTTGAATAATAAAATTTTCACAGGAATTCAATTATGTGAAATATAATTTAAATAAATACAAATATAATAATAATAATAATATAAATATAATTTAAATAAAATTTTTGAAAGAAATCAATTATTTAAAATATTTAGGTACATAAAATAATGTCTAAGAAATTATTATTATTTTCAAAACTTTTGATAACATTTGTTTATAAGCATTAAATTATTTTTATAAATAATTAAATTCATTGCAAGAATTTAATTAAATTTTTAATACAGTTTTAATTAAATTATTCCAAGTAATTTAATTATTATTTTAAATTTTCATAAAATTCTTTAAACAAATTCAATTATTTACCAAAATTTTAATAAAATCCTTCGCAAGAATTCAAATTATTTTTACAAAATAAAAAAATTTATCACAGGAATTCAATTATTTAAATAAATTTACTGTAATGCGTTGCAAGAATTCAATTATTTTCATAAAAAGAAAATATTTTTCACAGGAATTCAATTATTTAAATAAATTTACTAAAATTCGTTGCAAGGATTCAATTATTTTCATAAATAATAAAATTCTTCACAGAAATTCAATTATTTAAAAAAATTTACTGATTTTCTTTGCAAGAATTCAATTGTTTTCATAAATAAAAAATTTTTTTCACAGCAATTCAATTATTTAAATAAATTTACTGACATTCGTAGCAAGAATTCAATTATTTTCATAAAAAATACAATTCTTCACAGAAATTAAATTATTTATAAAAATTTACTGACATTCGTTGCAAGAATTCAATTATTTTTATAAATATTAAAATTCTTTGCAGAAATTCAATTATTTTTAATACAATATTTTAAATAAACTACTCGAAAAATGTAATTATTTCCAAAAATTTTATTAAAATTTTTAGAAAAATATCAATTATTTACATAATTTTGATAACATTATTTATAAGTATTCAATTCTATCAATTAATTATTTTTGTATTTAAATAATTGAATTCTTGTAAAAATTTCTAAAACAAGAATTAATTGAAAATTGAATTTTAGTTAAAATTTTAGATTATAATTTAATGTTAAATGCGTTATAGTACTTATGAATTTTTATATAAATATAGGTAAATTTAAAAACCCTTTACATTAAAATTATCAAAAATTTTAATTCCTGTGAAAAAATAAGTAAGTATTTATGTATTTATTGAACAAAAATTATTCAAGTATGAATAATTTTATTTTGAAAATTATGAAAAAAATTAGTTTCTAGAAAAATTTTAATTTCAATTTCTTGAATATAGTTAATTTGAAGTAAAAATTAAAAATATTTATTTAAATTTCTAATTAATTGGAAGTTTTTTCAAATGTAATTAAAATAAATTTTATATTTAGAAAAATATTTATTTTTACTTTTAAAAGTTATTTGGAAATATAATCGAATTTTTGAAGAATTCTAACTAAAAGTTTGGAAAATAATTGAATTTCATAAAAATTTTAAATTCAAGTTATGACAAGGTTAAGAAAAAAAGTGAATATTTTTTATGAAAATCAGGGGAAATACAGAATCAAATTATTTTACCAATTTTTGTAAATTGATTAAAATGTATTTTTCAGTCGTCAAATTTAATTTTTCGATAGCTACTTTTTTTTACTACTTTTTTCACTCTTAAAACTACTATTTGACACTTTTTAAAAATTAATTATTGAGTGCAAAGCTTGTAAAAACCTAAAGAAATTAAAAACATTTCTGATTATTTTTTGTCGATAACTTTTAATTTTTTAAACTTCCCTGTTTTTTTAAAATAAATTTTACTTAAATAAATAAATTTTAAAATCTTTTAAGTAAATTTTAGAAAAAACATTAGTAAAATTCAAGAAATATTAGAAAAAAAAACAATAAAATATTTTCGTATAAAAATGGTCAAAAATTGCAGATTAGTTTAGATTATACATTGTGAGCATTAAAAGTTACTCAAAATTTTTTTCTTCCTATATATTATAATTGAAAAGCGGAAAATTTGTGACAATTAAAAAATATCATCGCATAAAAAATTGTTAACGAATTAAAAATTATTTTTAGTTCCATTAAGGAGAAAGCACAATACGTGAAGAATAATAATCTCGGTGGTGCAATGATCTGGAGCATGGACACAGATGATTTCAATGGAAACTGTAATGGAGGCAAGAATCCTCTACTCAATGCTTTAAATAAAGTCCTAAGGAATTAAACCGCTATTTTCATATTCATATATATATTTATCTTCATTTGCCTTTTCTTCAGTATTCAAATACATCATTTTCATAAAATTCACGTGTTCATTTGAAAATAAGAAAAAAATCCTTTTCAGCAAAAAATTTGTACTTATAAATAAATTTTAAGTAACTAATTAAATGAGTTTTGTTTAAATTAATTAGTAATAAAAATTCCGTCATTCATTTAAATCCGTATTTTGGATATTATATCTAAAAATCCAAAAATAATAGAAATAATCTAAAATATTGATAGAAAGGACAATTTTTAACCTTTTTGTTTTAATTTTATTTTTAGTCACATTATGACGTAAATTTAAAAATTACACACAAAAAATATAAGGACTTTAAATAAATTAATTACGTTTAAATGTACATATAATAAAAGAACTTGAAGATTATGTAATTGTTATAATAAAAAAAATATCAAACTGAATTAACTTTGATAATTTTTCATTACACTTTTTGAGATTGAATCTAATCGTAATAATAAATCTATAATAGTTTTAAGTACCTTGGCCTTGGGTGTAAGTGTGAATTTAGCCGAAATTAAGTTAGTCACGATTGAATTTTTCATTGTCAGGTGATATTTCGTGTCATTAATTATATTGTCGCATATAAAAAAAGAGATGAAAATTAATTTAATGTATAAATTCGAATTTAATTACAAAATAGAAAAAAATCTTTATATACAAGTAAATATAAATATTCATGAAGATATAATATAGTCATCAATTGGAATTATAATTATAGTCACTTTTATTTTCAAAAAAAGTATTAGTGCCTTCGTTCAAGCTTAAGAATTAAAATTCAATGAATCTTTGCTGTTCTAATTTAATTTCAATTTAACGTTTACTGAGCTGTTTACAAAAATACTCTATAAATTGAACGATTCCAAAATTAGAAAATTTTAAAATTAAATCCATTTTTAATTAAATTTCTTGTTCTACCTAAAAACCCTTTTTTTAAGCTAAATTTCATTTTTTTTAAAGTAAAAAATATTAAATTTAATTTGCAGAAATTTTGAATCAACAAACAATTGTAGAAAATAATATAATTTTTATAGTCCAGTGACAAAGTATAGTCGTCAAACATTTTGCGGAGGATAAATATGTTTAACCGGCTCTTCCACGAATGTTATTTTCAACCCTGTTACATTTCCGCTTTTTGTTGTTGAAATTTGTGGAAAATCGATAAATTCTGAAGCAGAAGACTTAAGAGTGAAACGTGCTCTTGTCTTGATTATTATTGTAGATAACAATGAGTGAAATTTCCTTCACATTTTGGAGACTTTGGGACATTAAGAAGTACACTTTATTATGTCAAAAGGAGTTTCTCGTATAAAATTAGCGACACAAAAGTGTTCGATTCAGTTTACGGGGGAATTATTATCTCTAACACTAATAACGCACACTCAGGAAATTGAAAGAAAGTTTTAGAAGAATCAAAAGATTTTCATTTATAAAAAAAAGAAAAATTCAGCTATTTTTAATGAAATTCAATTATTTATGAAAATTAGTAAACGCAACTCTTCTAAAATTCAAAAACTTTTGTAATTTTCCAGTGAAATTATTTATTTAATTTTATGAAATTATTCATAAATATTTTAATTTTATTTTTTCGTTTTTGAAAAATTAAATTATTTGAAAAATTCAATTCTATATTCTGTGAAGATCAATTTTTATCAGAAATAGAAAAAATTTAAGGTTTTGTATTAAAAATCGTGATGTCAAATTTTATAAGGGAAACAAAAAAAAAATTCAATAATTTATTGAATAATTGAATGTTTCTTAAAATTCAACTCACATAAAGAATTTTAACAACAAATTTTTAAATAATTGAATTCTTTCAAAGTTTCGACGAATTTTAATAAAATTTTTAAGATAATTACATTTTTCGAGAAATTTGATTAAAATTGTATTAAAAATAATAGAAATTCTGCGATGAATTTTATTATTTGTGAAAATAATTGAATCCCTAAGAAGAATTTTATTATTTTTTAACATAATTGAATCCTTGTAAAAAATGTTATTACTTATTTATGAAAATAATTGAATTATTGAAAGAAAATTAATTGAATTAAGGGAAATTTTTGAAAATAATTGAAATTTTGCCAAGAATTTTATTAAAATTTTTGAAAATAATTATTGAATTTCGAAAAACAATTTTATTATTTTTAAACATAATTGAAATTTTGAGGAGAATTATTAATAATTTTTAAATATAATATTATTTTTGAAAATAATTGAAATTTTTACTAGAATTTTAAGAAATTTTTTAACATAATTGAATGTTTACATAGAATTTTATTAAAAATTTTTTTCTTAATAATTAAATTCTTTTGGAATATTTTATTAAAATAATAGGTCATTGAAAATCATTGAATTGAGGAAAATCTTTAAAAATAATTGAAATTTTACCAAGAATTTTATTAAAATTTTTTGAAAAATGAAAATGATTAAATTCCTATAGAGAATAATTGATTATTTACGACCATAATTGAATCCCTGTAAAAATTTTATTATTTATGAAAATAATTGAATGACTGCGAAGAAATTTAGAAAAAATTTGTAAATAACTAAATTCCTGTGAAATTTTTATTATTTTATGAAAATAATTAACGGTTTTGCGCAGAATTTTATTAAATTATTTTTTAAATAATTGAATTCTTTTGGAAAATTTTATTAAAATAGTAGATATTAAAAATCATTGAATTGAAGAAAATTTTTAAAGATAATTAAAATTTTGTCAAGAATTTTATTAACCCGTTGCCTGTTTCCGACCCACGGGTGGGTCGTGAAAAAGTATGGCCATAACTGTTTCCGACCCACCCGTGGGTCGTGTTCACTATCACTCTAAATAAATATAATTTGTATATAAATTGATAGATATTTTTCTTTATATCAATATTATAAGAAATTATAAGGGTCATTAATGATATTTTAGAAAATAATTGAATAATTAGTTATAATTTAAATATACTATACTATTTGAAAAAGTATCAGATTCCGCTGGGCATTTTGGGACAATCATGTTGTATTTTCCTCAAACAGTTAAGGGGTTAAAAATTTTAAAAGTAATTGAATTGCGGAGAGGAATTTAATTATTTCTTTCGACTAATTTTATGCAAATTCTAATTTAAATAATTGAATTCATGAGATAGTTTTATTATTCATGAAAAGAATAGAATTCTTACGAAGATTTAAAAAAAATGTTTTTAAATAATTGAATTCTGTTTGGAAATTTTATGAAAATAGTAGATATTGAAAAGCATTGAACTGCGAAAAGTTGTTGAAAATAATTAAATTTTACAAAGAAATTCTATTAAAATTTTTGAGAATAATTGAACGTCTGTGAGAGAATTTAAAAAATTTTTTTTCAAGATAATTGAATTCCAAAAGGGTTTTATATTATTTATGAAAATAATTGAATTCTTACGAACGATTTTATAAGAAATTTTAAAATAATTGAATTTCCAAGAAGAAATATATTACACTTAAAAATAATTGAATTCTTCTGAAAAATTCTAATATTTTTGTAAATAATTGAATTCTTCCAAAGAATTTTAAAAAAATATTTTTTAAATAATTGATTTTTTCGAGAAATTGAAATTAAATTTTTAAAAATAATTAAATTTCTCGAGCAATTCCAGTAAAATAGTATTAAAAATAATTGAAAGCCTACGATGAATTTTATTATTTATGAAAATAATTGAATAGTTGCAAAGAATTTTATTAAAATTTTCAAAAATAATTGAATTCCTGAGAAGAATTTTATTATTTATGAAAATAATTGAATTATTGCGAAAAATTTTATTAAAATGTTTAAAAAAATTGAATTTCTGTGAAAAATTTTGTTATTTTTGAAAATAATTGATTTTTTCATAAGAATTTTATAAACATTGTTTTCAATAATGAATTTTTTCGAAATATAATAAATCTTATGAAGATTTTATTTTAAATAATTGAATTCTTCGAGAAAACTTTATTTGTATAAGAGTAATTGCATTCTTCGATTAATTAATTTAAAATAGTATTAAAAATAATTGAAATTCTTCGATGAGTTTTATTATTTATGAAAATAATTGAATTCTTATTTAGAATTTTATCAAAATTTTTTTCCATGAAAACTGTTATTATTAGTGAAAGTAATTGAATTATTGTGAAGAATTGTATAAAAATTTGGTTAAATAATTGACTTTTTCGAAATTTTCTTGAAAATGCTATTCTAAATTAATTGAAGTCCTGTGGAAATTGTATTATTTATGAATGGAATTGAATTTTGAATGAATTTTATCAATTTTTGTTTAAAAAATTAAATTCTTTTGCGAAATTTTATGAAAAATAATTGAATTTTGAATATTTTTTGAAAATAATTCAATCGTTTTAAAGAATTTGATTATAATTTTTGAGAATAGTTTATTGATTTCTAGTATTAGTGAATTTAAAGTAGTGGAAATTCTCAAAAAAATATCAGAAATAGTAGCTTTTAGTGGCTGAAATTTAAAATAGTATCCAAATATAGTATCCTAACGTAAAAAAAATAGTAAATAGTAGGTTTCAGTAGAACGAGTGCGAAGCCTGAATACATTTTTTGCACTGCTTTGTTACTAAAAGTAATACCGATACATCTTATTTTAATCTGTTTTGGTACCAAAGTAGGAGCATTGGCTTTCAGTCACAGTTTTGGTTCTAAAATTTAGACCGATACAGCATATTTTTAATCTTTTACCATTTTACCTTTATTCCCCAAATTAAGAGCATTGTATTTTCCTCATTGTTTTGCTGCTATAAAAATAAGATGAATACATCTTATTTTAAATGATTTACCAAAATAAGAGCAGTGAATTTTTCCAACTGCTCTGTTACTAAAAACTAATACCGATACAGTTTATTTCAAACCATTTTGTTACTAAAATAAGAGCACATGGTGTAACAAAATAGTTATTATGCCTATATTTGTACAGCACAACAATTTTTTTCCTCTGTAAACTTGAACCTCATATACCAAATTACAGAAGATAGACCGAAATTTCCTTCCACCTTGAAATAAGTCAATGTCGACTATTATTCCTTCGGAAATTTATGCACAACTGAGGACATAAGGTGAGTTCAAGATCTATAGAAGGAAAGAGTGGCAAAAGAGTTTTTCTTCTATTAGAGAGAAGAGAGCGCGCAGGTCTCGTGTTGGAAAGAGAGAAAGCGAACCTAAACCAAAAGAGTTGAAACCTTTTCAACCTTCTTCACCTCCGGGTACCTATCGATATATGTATGTATATATGTGTGTACATGCAGGAAAGGTATTGTGTTCCAGTGGTGAAGGGGGGGTTTGAGTCTAGTCACGCGAACCATCGTCGTGTAGCAGTCGGGTTCGGAGAACCGCGGTATTACTTCCGAGGCCAATCAGTCAGTCTTGCAGAATGAAGTACACGGCATGGATGGTCGTCGCGCTTCTCCAGGAACTCATATTCCTTGGGATGCTTCCTGTCAATGAATCACAAAGGACTCATGCACGGCAGGGCATTGTTCGCGAGCCGCCAACAGTCAAGCTACCTGGACAGGGTGTCCTCGCCGGAAAGGAGGTGCGGATAACGCGTGATGACGCCTCATCCTCAGATTTTCTTGCGTTAGAGTGCATTGCATTTTATTCTTTCGCCTCACTGTTCGCACGGTAAATATTATTTACTTAACGCGCAGTCAATAATTTTCTCCTTTTTCTCCCCTATAGTCTTTTTTTTCTTTTTTTCCACCTTTGTTCTTTCATTTTTTTTTGTAGGAATTTTTTTTTCTTCTTTTACGCAAAAATGCATTAAAATTTTCTCTTTACATCCCTTTACTCTTTTTTCAATTATTTTCTATATTAGGAAACTTTTTTTCTCTTTCGTAAAAATACAAAAAAAAATTTCGAGAAAAGTCTAATTTTTCGACTCAAAAAATTGACAAAATTGATTAAATATTTTATGCACTCGATTAATGATAAAAATTCTGTTTTTTGGGGGGGGTTTTCTTCATATCAATTGAAAGGAAAATCGGAGGGTCTTTGCCAACAAGAAAAAAATGTTTGATTCAAACTTTCTTCACAGAAAAATTTTTTATCGATGAATATAGACCATCAGATTTCAATTTAATTTACAAATTATATTTTTTAATAAAATTTTTTCTGACTGAGAACTTCAATGTTAATTTCTCGACCACTTTTTTCTTAAAATATTAAATAAATTAAGCTAGTTTTTTGTGAATAACTGTAAAACATAAGGTGCTAAAGTTTTGATAATAATTCGTAAATTTATTATTATAAAACACTTTGATAATTTCAAACAACTGATAATTTCAAAGTGATTTATAATAATTAATTTTTTAATTATTAAAAATTATGTACCAGAGTGCCTTTCCTCATTATATTTTAAAGTTATTCACAAAAAACTAGCTTAATTTATTTAATATTTTAAGAGAAAAGTGATCGAGAAATTAACATTGAAGTTCTAACAGTCACATGCTGTTAGTTCTGATGGTTCAAATGAACGAAATTTATTTATTATAAATTTAAAATGTAATAATTTTTAATCTATTTTTAATTTTTATAACAATAATATTGAGTTACTGCAAAATTAATAAAAAATCTTTTTAAACGTAAAATTTAAGTTTTTAACTTTTGTTCAAGTCAGTAATTTATGACAATAGTTAAAACTATTTTCAAATAGTTGAGAAATAGACAAAAATAAATAGAAAAAAATATTTTGTTCATTTAAACATTTTAAACATTCAAAACTTGTGATTTGTGAATCATAATTTTTTATATTTAGTGATTGACTGACTAGTTTTTTTCTAAATTTCGACCAATGAGAATTTACATTTTCCTTTGTAAAAAAAACAAATTAGTTTCATATATTTTATGTAATCAAACTATTGTTAACTATTATTATTATATTAACCAAACTTAATTAATAAAATTTTTCCTACTTCATTAAAATTTCGAAACTTAAAAAATTAAATATAAATTTTTTTATTTTTGAATGAAAGTAGATTTATATTTTTCAAGTAAAGAATAATAGTTTTAAATAATAATAATTAATATAAATAAACCCAAGATTTAAAATAAAATAGTAAAAATAAGTAGGGAAATAATTAATTTCAAGTTATATTCTTAAAAAGTAGTAAATTCATTCAAATTTTAAATAAAAATAAATTTTAAACAAAAACTACGAAAAAATAATTTATAATATAAATAAATAAAAAAATAATTTAAAATATAAATAAATGACAAAATAATTTATAATAAAAATAAGTAGAAAAATAATTTAAAATAAAAGTAAATTCTAAGGAATTGTGAACTAAAAAATTGTTGACTAATAAGTTAACTAATAAATTCTATTCTAATAAGTTGTTAACTAAATAATTATAAACTAAAAAATTGTTAAATAAGGAATTTATTACTAAAAGAATTATTTGTGCAAACATTAAAAATTGAGAAATAGTAATGCAGAAAATAAAATTAATAAAAAAAATAATTATTTATAATAAAAATAGGTAAAAGAAATAATTTAAATTAAAAATATAAATATTAAAATTATAAAAAAAATAAAATAAAATATTAAAATATAAAATGTATAAAAAATAAAATTATTAAACAAAAAATTTAAAAAATCATTTGAGAAATCATTTTTATTAAAAACAGAAAGATTTATATTTTAAATAAAATTTTTTTTTTAAATTCTACACTTGCAGTAACAAAACTTTGGTTAATAAAAAAAAATTATTGTTTAATTCAATAATTTCCTCGCACCAATTAAAAATAGTTTGATTACATATGAAATATATGTCGATCAAATATGTTTATTTCTTAAAGAAAAATATAAATTACCAGTGATCGTACTTAAGAAGAAATTATCAAATTAATCATTCAATCATTGATATAAAAAATTTTTAATTTCTAATAAAATATAATTTGAAAATTGATTGAAGTATCCATTATCTAACATTATAATTTAAAATTGATATAATAAGATAATTATTTTTCAATATGATAAAATTGATGTAATAGAATCATTATTTTTTAATAATATGTTAAAATTGATTTAGTATAATACTAAATAAAAAAATTTAAAATAATAATAAAATTTAATAATAATGATAAAATTTAATAATAATGATAATAAGAATATTATTTTTATTTTTATTATTATTATTATTATTATTATTATTATTATTATTATTATTATTATTACTATTATTGTTAAATTTCATTATGTCATTATTAAATTCAGAGATAATTTTTTAATACTTTAAATTAAAATATTTAACGATTTTCTAATGCAAAAAAAAAAAATTTTTTCCTCAAAAAACCCTCAACTTTGTTTTAAAGAAAATACATTTTTTAAACACAAAATTTAATTGCACAATATTTTCAATCAACGACCCTCTAGATAATTATTCTATTTTTTTCTTCTAGATAAAATAAAAATTAATGCGCTTGAAATTTATGAAACACGCTTCACACGCTTCTTTTTGTTTTTGTTTTCTTTTTAGAAAAGAAAAAAAATCGCATTCTCATATAGTTATTTTGCGTTCATTATTGTCGATCACTATTTTTTGTGTGTGTGTGTGTGTGTGTGTAAAATATAACAGTTTCGTTCAAATACGTGAAAGCTGTGATGGGAAATGAGTGTTATCGGCTTATTCTCAATATATGAATAGAAAGTGTATCAGATTGATAAAATTATAGAGAAAGGATGTGTATATATGCAAAAGTTTGTTTATAATGGCGGCACTTCTTTTTTTTTTATTGTATACTTTAAGAAATAACTCGAAGAAAAGTGAACAATAATTTATTATAATGAATGGTTATATTTCATATATATATATATAAATATATGAATAGAATATTTTATTGCATACACAATTCTCTTTTTTACAAAAATATTTTTTTTATTGCCTACTTAAAGATTCAAATTTCTTTGCTGTTTATTATTATTCAATTATTTATTGTTTTTTCCCTCTTGTATTCAAATTTTCAAGAAAATAAATTACGATAAGAAGAAAATAATTTTGTAGTTCGGAGAATGGTATAATAATTTTTTTCATAGAAAAAAATGTTAATTTGTTTAAAAAATGATTTAAAAGGTTAATTAACTAGTTGCATATTATCAAAAATACTAAATTGAATAAAATATTTTTTTAGTCAAATTATTTTTTAGGTCAAATATACTTTTTGAGCGAAAGAAGTTTTTTATTTAAATAAGTTGTTGATTCAAATCATTTTTAAGATGAACAATTTTTTAGACAAACAATTTTTGAGTCAAATAATTTTTTTGAGTCATAATTTTTTTGAATCAAATAATTTTTCAAGTGAAATAATTTCTTAGGTCAAATTATTATTGTTTCGAAAAAATAAGTTTTCGAGTCAGATAAGTTTTTGACTCAAATAATGTTTGCGCCAAACATTTTTTGAGTTAAATGATTTCTTAGGTCAAATAGTTTTTTTGAGTTACAATCATGCGAATCAAATAAGATTTTTGAGTCAAATAATTTTTTAAGTCAAATAATTTTGAAGGTCGATTAATTTTTTAGGTCAATATAAGTTTTCGAGTAAAATAAATTTTTGACACAAATCATTTTTGAATCAATTTTTTTAGTCAAATAATTTTCATTTTAATAAAAATAATTCGAAGCTACGTTAAATTTCCGTATTGAAAAAAATGTCCAATTAAATAGACAGGATAATTAGTTCAAAAATACAAAAAAATATTTACTCGATAATTAATTAAGTATTGTTCGTAAAATTAACTTTTCTTTTCAGTCTTTTTTTCTATTTACTTTCATTATCAGTTTTTCTTTATTATACAATAAAAAAAAATTTACCCGAAAAAAGTGAAAATAACGAGTAATAAAAATTACATAACAAAAGTAAAAATAAAACAGTTGGAAGATTTTAGAAGCAGATTTTCTTCATAGTTCGCGTATATATAATTATTTCATTTAATGAAGTATGAAAAATTCAATGGAGGTTGATGTCCGCTTGTTTTACTTTAAAAGTAAACAAACTCATAAAAATTGCAATTTTAACACTTCTGTAATAATGTTAAATATACTTTTCCTGATAATAAAATGCATAACAATATATCAAAATTTATTTATTTATTATGTTTATTATTTATTTATTTCACTTTTTATTTATTTTATTTTTTATTTACTTTATTTTTTATTTATTTTAATTTTTATTTACTTTATTTTTTATTTTATTATACCATTTATGTATAATATCTACTATTTATTTATTTTATAAAAAAATAGATTTATCCTTCCTCGAAAAATTGACGAATTACCACATACAGAAACAAACTTTATGCATATATATTTCTTCTTTCTCTTTTCATTTGCAACGAAAAAAAAAATTAAAATAATGCAAGAAAAATTGAATGAAAATGTTTATTATTATTATATAAAAGCCAGACAAGTAATTTTTGATCAATTTCAGGGTTGATAAACCACAATTATTACCTTGAGTTATTCAAGCGCGTTGAATTTCAATAACATTAAATTGTACACTAAATGCATATGCTAATTCTAATCTAATACTTCATTTACGTAATGCCTAATGATAAAATGCGAAAAATTTTAAATTAATATTATTATAAAGAAAATTATATTTTCTTGAGAATTTATTATTTCAATTTTAATTATGATTTTTCATTCTAATTAGGATTTTCAATTTCAATTACGATTTTCAATTCTAATTAGAATTTTTAACTTTTATTCTAATATTAAGAAATTCAAATTTGAGAGTCGGTACCAAGACACAATACCAAAATTACCATAAAAATGTTACATTCTATGAAAATTAACTAAAGTTATTTAAACATTTCATTCGTTCAGTAAAATTTATTCGAACGTATTTATTTTCAAAAGAAGTGATATTTTACAATCATGGAAAAAAGGAAAAGGAATTTTTTACTGTTTTTTATATTAAAAAAGTTGCTGCTTAAAATATATTTTGTTTACTATTTTGCACATAAAGAACAATTTTCTTGTTACTTACCTTTACAAATAAAAGTTTATGTATTTTTTTTTACAAAATAATAATATATAAACTAAATTTTTTTCAGACAAAAAATTATATGATAAATTAATTAATTAAAAAAAAATTAATAAAACATTAATAATCAAAAAAATAGTGTAAAATTTAATTAATAAATCTTTACATAATAATAAAAATGGTAACAAACAATAATAACAAACATAAACTTTTTTATGTGGAAAATAACATGAAAAAATATTTTTTCATTTAAAAACAAAAACAATTTTTAAAAAATAAAGTATGTAACAACATTTTTAAATTTGCTATTAGTTTGCTATTAAAAAAATGTAACTTTAAAACTCTGAGAACATAAAATAAATGATTTTTAAGCTTCAACACATCAAAATTTTTCCAAAACTTGCAAAAAGTATAATTTTTTTTCTTTAAAGTAATTATTAATTATTTCAACTTACAAAAATTGACAATTTTTTTATAAATTTTTTTGTTTTTTGTTATAAAGGAAAAATGGAGAATTTATATCATTTTTCTAAAATTATATAATTATATCTATTCAAATTTATAATTTATAGGTACAATCTCTTTAAATTTAAATTCTTTTAAATTCTTTAGATGTTGTGGATCATAAATTAATAAAATGTCCTGAAACACGTAAATTTTTTTTTCTGAACATTCAAATGAACGAAATTCTTTGACAATATTAATATTTTTTAAAATTACAGACTTCGCACTTGATAATTAATTTTAAAAAAGTAGCAAAAAGTAGTTTTCAAACTAAAAAAAGAAGTAAAAAGTAGCTATCGAAAAATTAAATTTGAGGACCAAAAAAACTCGTTTTAGACACTTGGCAAAATTGACAAAAATTCCATTTCATTTTTTTTCCTGACTTTTTCCTAATTTTCATCAAAAATATTTACTTCTTTCTTATTTTATAAAAAAAATTTTAATTCATTGATTTCTTTCGACTAATTTTATTCAAATTCTAATTTAAATAATCGAATTCCTGAGAAATTTTTATTATTCATGAAAAGAATTGAATTCTTACGAAGATTTTTATAAAAAAATTTTTAATAATTGAATTCTGCTTGGAAATTTTATGAAAATAATATTTATTGAAAATCATTGAATTGCGAAAAGTATTTAAAAATAATTAAATTTTACACGGAATTCAATTAAAATTCTTGACAATAATTGAATTCTTGCGAACAATTTTATTAGAATTTTTTTAAATAATTGAATTTCTAAGAAGAAATTTATTACTTTTAAAATTAATGGATTTCTTATGACGAATATTGTTATATTTATGAAAATAATATTGAATTTTGCAAAGAATTTTATTAAAATAACTCAAATTAATTTAATTCACGGAAATAATTTTGTTATTAATAATATTCTTGGGAAGAATATTATTAAAATCTAAAGGAATAATTGAATTATTTCAAAAAAATTTAATTAAAAATGTATTTAAAAGAATTGATTTCTTTCGATCAATTTTATTAAAATATATTTGAAAATAATTGAATTCCTATGAAAAATTCTAATATTTTTGTAAGTATAATTGAATTCTTCCAAAGAATTTAAAAAAACATTTTTTTAAATTATTGGTTTTTTCGAGGAATTGAAATGAAATTTTTAATCATTTTTTGAGCAATTCCTGTAAAATTGTATTAAAAATAATTGAAATCCTGTCATGAATTTTATTATTTATGAAAATAATTGAATAGTTGCAAAGAATTTTATTAAAATTTTAAATAATAATTGAATTCCTGAGAAGAATTTTTATGAACATTGTTTTAAATAATTAATTTTTTCGAAATATAATAAATATTATGAAAATTTTATTTTAAATAATTGAATTCTTCGAGAAAACTTTATTTGTAAAAGTAATTGCATTCTTCGATTAATTAATTTAAAATAGTATTAAAAAAAATTGAAATTCTTCAATGAGTTTTATTATTTTTATGAAAATATTTGAATTCTTGCTTAGAATTTTATCAAAAATTTTTTTAAAAAATTTATTTCTTTAATACTTTAATACTTGATGCAATATTATTGCAATAAAATTTTAATTTGAAGGAGAAATAAATAAATTTTGTTCATTTGAAAGTTCAGAATTTGAAGGGGATAAAAAAAGGGGAAAAAAGGGAAAAAAGTAAACTAAGTCTGATCCCTATAATTATTTACTTTAAAAAATGAAATATTAAAATAAAAATGTTTAATTTAAAAAAAATATTACATTTTTAAAGTAATTTTGGTATTTTTGGCCCAATTTGGTTGAAACCGGTAAATCCGCGAAAAATTCAAGTCCAACTATCTCGCAATGCCTATAACGATTTAAGAACAATCTGTCTATTTTTAAAAATTTATAAATGAATATCTAAAAAAAGAGGAATAATTTTCTATTATATTTCTTGATTCTAAAGTAGGCTAATTAACTTTTGTTCACTCGTTGTTGACTTCTTGAATATAAGAAATCTGAGAGGAAATCAAGTAGAACTTGAGAAAAGAGAGCAAAACAGATTGATGTTGTTGCTCCAGAAAACGGGTGTGGTGAAAGGAAACAGTAGAATTTTATATTGTACATATATATATACAATATAATGATAGAAATATCTCTCTTTTATATTTAATTATAAATAATAATAAAAATCGTAACATTTAATGATGAGAAGAAAAAAAATTCTCCGTTTCTTTTTTCTCATTGCAAAAAACAGGTCTTGAGCAGAACAACAAGGGTAATTGTTTACCTTGGCATCCCTTACGCCCAACCACCAACTGGACCTTTGAGGTTTTCTGCTCCAGTTACCGATCCACTTCCTTCATGGCATGGCACTAGAAATGCCTCTCAATTTGCGCCGTCCTGTCTACAAATCACCGAGAGAAGAAAGTTGCATGAAAAATTATATATGCGACTATTGCCACAGGATCTTCCAGATCCTGGTTTCAGCGAAGATTGCCTCTATTTGAATATTTTTATTCCCGACGGTGAGTTACTTTTTGATATCAGACCGATAATTAGTTATTTAAATATGTGTATAATTATTGAGAAGTTTCTCAATAATTACACACATTTCAAATGCAAAGAAAAATATTCGCTCATCGTCAAATTAAAAGCAAAAATAAGAATTCATATATCATTTCATTAAATCTGCACTGGAAAAAAAAATTTATTTCATTCAAATATTTTACTTGTCTATTATCAAATAAATTTATTGCATTAAATGATTTTTTAATTTAAATCAAATTTAATTTCTTTAATTTATTTAATTCAAAGTTGTTAATTTCAATTAAAGAACTTTAATTTGAAATTTAATCAAGTTCTGCATTAAAAAAATAAAATCAAAAGTTTAAAGCCGGCCATTACTTAAAAAATTCTATGAGTTCTCAACTTCTGAACTAAAAAAATAAAATTAAAAGTTTAAAGCCAACTACTACTTAAAAAATTCTATGAGTTCTGATTAAAAGTTTTATGAGTTCTAGTTTTCTAACAACGATTCATAGAGTTATTATAAAGAGTTCTTTAAATAATTAGAAATAATTTCAACCAATTCTTTAATAATGTTCCGCGTGGAATATTCAGTATTTTAAATTTGTTAAAATTTATCAAATTTTATGAGTTTTCAATTAAATTTTATGAGTTTAGATTTTTAGTTCTACAAAATATTTTTCTAAATATTTTGCTCCGAATGCAAATTTAAAAAAAATCATTACTCTTACAATTTTTTAAAATTTAGAATTCTATGAGTTCTAATTAAAATTCTATGAGACTGAAGAACAAATCAAGAATTGTTAAATATAAAAGGTTTCTTAAAATTAATAAAAATTGCAACCAAATTTTTTTCAGTAATATTCTGCACTAAAAATTTACTACCTTGAAATTATCGACATTTTTAGAGTTCTATGAGTTGTGTACTTAAGTTTTATGAGTTTTAATTCATTTTTATATTGAAAAATTTTTCAACTGAAAAAAGTCCTTCAAACAATTTTTTTAAAAAACATATTTGCATCTCTAGACGCGAAAAAAACTGCTACACTTTCAACTATTTAAAATTTAGAATTCTATGAGTTCTAATTAAAATTCTATGAGACTGAATTAACAATTCCAGAATTGTTATACAAAAGATCTTTTAAAATTAATAAAAATTGCAACCAAATTTTTTTCAGTATAATATTTTGCACTAAATATTTACTACTTTGAAATTATCGACATTTATAGAGTTTTATGAGTTTTGTACCTAAGTTTTATGAGTTTTAATATATTTTTATACTGAAAAATTTGTCAATTGAGAAAAGTCCTTCAAATAATTTTTAAAAAAAACCTTTGTATCTCTAGACGCAAAATCGAAAAAAATGTCACAATTCCAATTTTTCAAATTTTTTAATTCTATGAGTTCTGATTAAAGTTCTATGAGTCTTCAAATTTTCATAAGAATTCTAGAATTAGTACCAAAGAATTCTTCAAATTCGCTAATTTCTTAAAAATTAGTAAAAATTTGAAACCAATTTTCTATTATGTTTCGAACTGAATATTCATCACTTTTGTTATTTTTGAAAATTTTTAGAATTCTATGAGTTTTTATTTTAGTTTTATGAGTTCTAATCAATTTTTACACTATTGCAAAAAGTCCTTTAAAAAATGTTTCTAAAAATATTTTACTCTAAACTCAGAATCTAAAAAAAATGTCAATTCCATTTTCAAAATTTTTAATTCTATGAGTTTTCAATTTCAATAAATTCTATGAGTTCTAATAACTGTTCTGAAATCTTTACAAAAAGCTCTTGAAAATAATCTTGATGAACGTTTGCTACTTTTAATTTAGAATATACGAAAAATGTTTTAATTTGCAAAATTATCAAAATTGAAATTTCTATGAATTCTGATTGCAATTCTATGAGTTATATCAACAGTATTATAATTTAATTAAAATTATATTTTTTAAAAATCATTGAATTTTTTTAAAGAATCTCATCAAAATTGCTGAAATTTTTCTAGAAATTTTTTTATTTATTTTATTTATTTATTTTGAATTTTTCGACTTTGGACATTTTTATTTTGGATTTTTTGTACTTTGGATTTTTTTCTTGAATTTTTTGGTCTAGATTTTTTGGATTGAATTTGTTGTCCTGTAATCATTCTATTTTGTTGCATAAATTTTTGCTTTTAGATTATTTCAAGTAAAGTTTGTTTAATCTAAATAAATATTTTTCTGATTTAAATAAACATTTGCTTTAGATTAAAAAATTTTGCGCTCGAACAAAAAAATTTAATCGTCTCAAGCAAATTTTTATTTGTTGGTTGATTCAACAAAAATTCTATTGTTTCAAGAAAATTTCTTTTCTGCATATAAAATAGTAAAAAAAAACATTAAAATTTTTTATTAAAGTAGCAAAATAAACTCAAATATACCAAAATAGGAAAATAAACTCAAATTTATCAAAATAAAATACTAAATTTTTGCCAAAATAGTACCAACAATTCTCCAACTTAAAAATTTGAGGTTTAGCATTAATTGTAAATGATTGTCCCTAATTTGTTTCGTTTATTAACGAAAAAAAATAGAAACTTTTTTTTTCAAACTTTTCTAATAAATAATGTTTTTAGAAGAAGGTTGAAGAGAATTATAATTTATTATATCGCGTGACTCATTGTATAATAAAATTGCTCACAGACTTTTCTCTGCGGCATAAGGGAGTGCTAGTATGTATGTAAACGCATGATTAAAATTTAGTGCAGAACAGTGTGTTATCCCTTAAGAAAAATCATTTAACGATTGCTTCAACACCGTAAATTTCATTCCTCTATATACTGTTTCTCCTCGATAAATCGCTTTTATTTTAATTTTGAACTCAATTCATTTCTTAAGTATACATAATATATATATACACAATATAGTGCACTATTTGAGTTAAATATTCATTTTCCACAGTTGATAAAAATCCTTTTCTCAACGTATGTTAGAAAAATAATTTTTAAATTTATATCTCGTTATTATTTTAATTTGTTTTAATATTGTTTCTCGCCAGAAGAAAATGGAATTTAAATAAGAAGTAATAATTACCCTATTAACTAATTAACAAAAAAATTATCATAATGTATTTATCTATATTGTTTTAACAAAATTATCAGTTTAAAAAAAAAATTGGTCTATTTTTAATAATCGAGTTAATTTTTCCATTAACAATAAAATTAATTTCTTTTTCTTTCGTTAAAATTTTTCAATTTAGAAAAGATTTTATTGTCACAAAAACCAAAGCAATTTTAAGCACATTTTCTATTTAGTTCTAATTTACTTCTATTAGGGAAACAATTACTTTTTTCTCTCCCCCCACATTATTTCGAGTATAAATTAACTTTCTTTTAAATAGAAAAATTTTGTTCCATTTTTTTCTCCCCATCTGTCATTTTTCGTCTATCTTTAAATAACATTAATTTATTCGAAAAAAAAACTAAACGACAAAAATGAAAATTAGTTTTTATTTCAAATGAGATAATCTTTCCCTTTGAGTAACTTCAAAAGAAGCATATATTAGAAAAACATGCAATGTCAAAAATATCCTTCTACTATAGTGGTAATAGAACTCGCTTCTCCTAAAACTTTAAAATTAAGCACGTGGAAAATTTTGTACCTTCCCCCCCAAAAAAAAACAAGAGCACAGTAATTACGTCACTTTGTATATGAGGTCAAATAATCATCATAATAAGATTTTTATCATTACGACACAAAAAAAACGGTATTAATTCATAACATGACTGTTTTTAAATGATGGCAATAAATAGAAAGATAAAAAACTTATACAGATCCTAAAGTACTTTATAATAGTCGCGACATATATAAACAATTTTCTTTGATTCGCGTGAACAATTTTGAGTCATATTCCGAAAAAAAAAATTCTTGGAAAAAAAATTGCATTTCTCAGTAGAAATAAAAAGTAGGCCAACTGGAAATAAAATAAAAATGCAGGATTCAAATAGCTCGATATATATGACTATAATATGTATATGTAGAGAAATTTAAATATACGCACGAAAAATGATTTAATATTTTCTTATTATCGATTGAAAACAAATTTTAGATATATTTTTTCTACAATTTTCGAAGAAGAAAAAATTATTAGACTCTAGTTTTTTTTTTAATAAAAAGAAAAATTTATTGAACTATAAATTCTTTGTATAGAAAATTTAAATGAATCTTTATATAATAAATAATGAAAATAATATAAATAAAAAATAATAGAATAATCAATAATAATAATGATAAAAATAATAATAATATATTATAATAATTTTCCTGAACTTTTGAACGTTCAACTCAACGAAATTTTTTAAAAGTATATATTCAAAAATTAATATAATAGAATGAACAATCAACGAAATTAATTGATTATTGAAAAACATTAATTCTATATAGAATTCTTAATTAAAAGTATGAAAAGTTCAAATTTTCAAAGATTTGAATTTGAAATTAATTTTTAAATCAATATTTACTAGAAAATTCTACGAGAATTCAATTATATTATTTAACTATAAAAATAAATATTTTATTAAACAATTGAATGCTTCTTAAAATTGAATTTTCATAAAGAATTTTACCAACAAATTTTTAAATAATTGAATTCTCTTGACAAATTTTAATAAAATTTTCAAGAATAATTGCATTTTTCAAGAAATTTGATAAACATTTTATTAATAAAATAATTGAAATTCTGACAAGAATTTTATTAAAAGTTTTGAAAATAATTAAAATTTTGCCAAGAATTTTATTAAAATTTTTGAAAATAATTAAATTTCTGAGAAGAATTTTACTACTTTTGAAAATTATTTAATTTCTGCAATTATTTTTGTAATTTTTTTAAATCTTAGTTTTTTTTATATTTTTAATTAAACTCATATTATTAAAATTGAAATTTTACAAAATTTTAAATAAAAATCTTTTACAGTTCATCTGCTTATAAAAATTGTAAACGCAATTCTTTTAAAATTGAAT